GCGCTCAAAGGATTTGCTTTTGCTCTTCATGGCCTTGGCCCTGCTGCTGGAGCTGTGCCACTGCTGTCATTGCTGTGTCATCACTGTGCCACCACCATCATTGCTGTGCCACTGCTCTCATTGCCGTGCTACCATGACCATTACCATGCCATCGCCATCACCACTGTCACCATTGCTTTGACACTGCTGCTGTGGCCATGCCATCACTATGTCACTGCCATCATTGCTGTGCTACCGCTGTTATCTACATGCCATCACTATCACAGCTGTGCTGCTGCCATCATTGCTGTGCCACTGTTGTCACCGCCACGCCAAAGCTGTCACTCCCTGCCACTTTACACAACATCCCCAACATAGTAGTGGGGCTTGAAGTGTGACCCGTCTCAATTCACACAGTATTTTTAAACTTTAGGAAATGGTTGGGGTTTGGCAGACCACAGGTAGAAGGACGTTGCACTCAAGCACTCATTTTAATGGTGCTGGGACCTGGCATGGTCCTCCGGTCCCCATGGAGCTGGCACCCCAAGACATTGTCGGGTGCTCATATAGGCACTGGGATTCCCCTTCCACCCTCCAGATCCTCTGGGGAGCAGTGGGGTGAATTTAGCAGAGTGAGAACAGCAGCATTTGCAGTGCTCATCGCATCCCATCCCATCCCATCCCATCCCATCCCATCCCATCCCATCCCAATCCCATCCCATCCCATCCCATCCCATCCCGTTCTTACTGAGCTTACATTCTATAATGCTATTCTATGATTCCATTCCATCCCATCCTCATGATTCCATGACTCCATTCTATGCTCCCATCTCATCCCAAACTCCCTGGGCTCCAGGAGGCTGTGGCATCTCTGCCCATACAAAGCCTGTGAGCATGCAGAGTGTTGAGTGTGCACTTCTGGTTACCAAGAAAGGCACTTCTTGGTAGGGCCGCCATCGCATGGGGCATCTCGTGGTCAGGTGCAGCGCGGTGCCTGCGGTAGGCACTTCTCCGAAGCCAGCGTGGTGCTGGGGCATCGTATCTCTTGGCAGCATCATTTCCTTCTCCCTCAAGCTCTGCGTGCAGAGCTGAGCACAAGGCTTCGCCGAAATTCCTTTTCCTGGAATTTCCCCTCCAAGAAAGAGCGAACAGCGTGGTGACCGGGCTACGTGTGCCGATAACGCCTGCGCCGCGTTGACACTGTGAGCCTGGGGATGTGCCAACCCAATGGGATGGGCACTGCAGCGTCCCCTCCTCGTGCTGGGCATCGTGCCGCAGACTCTGCTGTCCCTGGGAGGACAAAGCCATGGGGACGTGGTGCAGCTCCGACACTGATTGCGGTGGCTCTTGGCAGGGCGCAGAGCCGCAGCCGACTTCTAAGAACTTTCTTTCAGCACAGCGCAGAGCTGATAAGGGCTGCTCCCTCTCACGCTGCACTTCCGGCCCCAGAGTACACCGAGTCCTTGGTTGAGAGCGAGATTGAGGTGGGGGGGGAAGGGAAGGCAAAAAAAAAAAGAAAAAAAAAAGCACAACCGAATGTAGCGGGACTTCCAGCGCTGGAAGGAGCAGGTGTGCACTGATGGGAATGGCTTTGCAGCAGTGAGCACGGAGCTAAGTCACATTCCGGTCCCTGTTGCATGGCAAAGTGCAGCCTGGAGGCAGCTCAGCACTGCACAGAGGGATGGGTCTCATGGCAGCGTGCCCGCACACACTGGCATGTGGTTGGCAGCATCCAGGCACTGCCAGAGCCTGGAGTGGGTGCCCCATACCGCAGCCCCAGCAGCTCAGCAGCAGAGGAACCGAAAGCTGCCGCCAGGGTATTATTAGAGTTGTTGGAAGTGCATGCTCAGCATTTTGTCATGTGCCTGGGTCAGAGTGAAAGCGGGCAGGCAGCAGTGGGCAGCTCTCAGCACGGCACCAGGGCAGTGCCTGGGGGGGTCCCATGAATGTATTCTCACCAGCCAGGCTCTGATTTCATTCTCAGTGTGCACAATTTCCCTGGCACACACTGGGAAATGCCTCCTCCCTCCTTTCCTCTGCATTATGGCACCACAGAGATGGGTTCCTTCTTAAGGTGCATTACCCGGCACAGCTCGTGCCAAACTCAGGGCAGCATCCATGCGGGATGTGTCCCTGCCACATGGGGTATTTCCTTGCCAGAGGACTATTTCCCTCCAGAGAGGGCTATTTCCTCACCCTATGACCCTGCTGAGCTGTACCACTTGCTTTCTGCAGGGCTCCAAGCCAAAGCTGCGCGCTGCCTGCTCGGCCATCCAGGAGGTGCGGAGGTGCACGCGCCTCGAGATGCCTGACAACCTGCACACCTTTGTCCTCAAGGTACGGCCCCGAGGCCTTTTAGAGCCTTTTTGGGATGCACATGGCTGCCCAATGCTCCTGTGCCAAATTTCACTTCCTCTTTGGAGGGTGGTTTATGCTGGGGGGATGCAGCTTGTAGGGTGGGGGTGCTGTGCTTTGAGCAGTTCCTACATGTGGGTGAGGGTACGATGGGGATGCACATCTCCCTCTAATGTCCCTCTGTGGTGTCCCCAGGTCACCAATGCTACTGATGTGCTGTTTGAGGCGGGGGATGAGCAGCAACTCAGCTCCTGGATGGCCGAGATCCGGCAGTGTGCATGCAGGGGGTAAGAACTTGCCAGGCTCCTGAGTCTGCACATCCTCAAATACTGTGCCCAGCACTTATCCCATCTTCTCCCATCCTCACAGGTTGGATGTGGGTGACCCTGAGCTCCTGTCAGGCCGGCATCCCGATCCCACAGCCACCAGCCCTGCCACCAGCTCTGACTCCCCAAACCAAGGTGAGCACCTGGGGACACCGAGAACAAAGCAGAGGTGTTGAGGACACCATCCCTAGGAGGGTTCCCATACCTCGCTGGGACTGGCTGAAGTTAATCCAGCCCCCAATGGTGCAAGGAGGACAGAGATACAGGGGAAGGGATGGGGATGATGAGTGGGGCTGGGCAGGGTCCTCGCTTCCCTGGGGCACTCACCCTTGCTGGTGTCCCTGTGTCTGGGCAGGGGCAGTGTCAGGGGGGCCGGCGGAGACAGCGGGACCGAAGATGGAGCAATTCCTGTCATCCTGCCCCTGGTTCCATGGGCCCATCTCCCGCGTGAAGGCAGCGCAGCTGGTGCAGCTGGGGGGGCTGGAGGGTCACGGTGTCTTCCTGGTGCGGCAGAGCGAGACGCGCCGCGGCGAGTATGTGCTCACCTTCAACTTCCAGGGCAGAGCGAAGGTACAGGTGGGAGATGGGATGGGATACATTGGGTTGGGATAGGTTGGGCTGGATCGAGTTGAGCTGGGTGGCAAATGTTACCCCTGCAAGAACCTCACCCCCCACCCCAGCTGATGCTCTCCTTGTCCCAGTGCTTGCAGAGGGCTGGTGTCCCCATCCCCAGTTCTTGGGAGAGGGAAAAATCCTGCAGTGAACAGGGCTGGAGATGCATCACATGATGCTAAGGCCGTTTATTCCCTTCCCCATCCATCCCAAATATCCCCGTGTCTCCCGTCATCTCCTCCACCAAGGGAGCTGGTGGAAGGCTAACAGGTCTGTGCTCCTCCCTGCAGCACCTGCGGCTGTCGCTGACAGAGCGGGGCCAGTGCCGTGTCCAGCACCTGCGTTTCTCCTCCATCACAGAGATGCTGCACCACTTCCACAGGTATCCCATCCCACTGGAGTGTGGGGCCACCTGCGATGTCCGGCTCTCCAGCTATGTTGTAGTCCTCCCCCAGCCACCAGGTAAGGGGCAGCAGTCCGGGGATGAACATTCTGGGCTTTGGGAGTCCTGGGGGACAGGGATGAGGGTCCTGGCCCTAAGGGAGGGTTTTTGCCCAAAGGGAGGGTCCTAGCCCTAAAAGACAGACTCTGAGGCAGTTGGTGCAGCTGTGCCCATTTAGGGGAAGCAGAAGCATCGGGACGGTGTCCCAAAAGCTGACACCTGAGCTCCTGGCTATCCCACTTTGGGCAAGCAGAATCTACCGTCAATCTCTGTGGGATGCACTCCAGCGCTAGCAGCAGCACGCTGGGACAGAACCACCTCAAGCATCTGCTCTCTCCCTCTGCCCGCAGCTCCTGGCTCCAGCCCTGCGCTCCCTGTCCCACTGCCCTTCTGGAGCCCGGAATTCAGCCTGACCCCCTCCGAATCCCCTCCAGAGCCCATTTTCCACCTGGTGCCACCGGTGGCTGAGTTGGCGCAGGGCTCACACCCCAACGGGGCACCCCATGGCGCACGGCCCCGTGATTCGGACTACGAAGTGGAAGCCCCGGGCCGGGGCCGTGTGCGTGCTGTGGACAACCAATACACACCACTGTGATGGGCACAGGGATGCACTTTTGGTGGAGAAGTCCTGGAGATCCCTCCGGGTGGCACAGAGGAAAAAGAATGTATTTCCTTCCTTCTGGTTAGGGATTGTTATTTTTTAATTTTGCAAGGAAGGGGGTCATTGTTCACTCCAGTATGGGTGTGCTCCCTCTCCTGGGCCTGTTAAAGGGCCATTAAAAAAAATTTTTTTTTTTTTTTTTTTGTATTATCAAAGCTTTCTCATTACTGTTTACACAACCACCATGGGGACACCGCACCGCCCTGTGCTCTCCTGCCCCTTCCAGGAGGAGCCGAGGGTGTGTGGTGCATCTGCACCATTGGAGCAAATGAATGAAAAATGGATTCACAATTCTTGGCCAAGCGCTGCCCGCGAGCCGGGATGGGGCTGTGCCACGCTACTGCTCACCAAGGATTTGTTTTATCTCTACAGACAAGGCAAAAACTGGCTTTTCTCCTTCCTTTTTTTCCCCAACTTGCCTCTTGCAGCCAATCCTGCAGCAGCGCTGCCCACACCGTGATGCTAACCGAGACGTGAACACTAACAGCTCCATCCCTAACAGTGCCACCGCTGAGAGCTACTGCGGAGACTGACAGCAAAGCATCCCCCACCAATGGGGGCATTTCCAGCACAAAACTCAGTTTCCCCATGGTTTTGTACTTTGGCTGTGCACCCTGCTCAGCTCTTTTCCTCCCTGCTAAACAACACGTAAGGGGATGGCGGTGTTCCACGCTATGCAGTAACGGGCAGAGGGAGCACACAGCCACTCTGAGCCCGCACACCCAACGTGCCTTATGAGAGGAAGAGGAAGGTTTGGCGTTTCTGCAGCTGTAATACCCATACAACACTTTAACCTGCCTCCATGTGTCCCCTCAAAGCATGGAGCCCCATTTACCTGCTGGTGCCTAGAGAGAGGATCAGCTGCTCTATCAGGAGAAAGGAGGGAGCTGGGGCCGTTGCCACATTCAGGGCACATTGGCAGCGCTCAGCTCCCATTTATGTGACCACAGAATAAATTGAGTTGGAAGGGACCCCCAAATAGTACCTGGTCCCACTCCCCTGCAATGCACAGGGATGCTGACAGCTCAATCCCAAGGGTTCCTAATGCAACATTATTCTCAAACTCAAATTAAAGAGAATCTTTTCTTCCCCCCCTATTAAAAATAGAGCCATAAGAGCATTAATTTAGGATTTCATTTGAAAGCCAACAATACAGAGCCTCAAAGCTTTTGCAAGGGCCTGAGAATGCACTGTGTGCACCACTGGCCCTGCACAGCCCACAGCCAACTGCACAGCTCTGCTGTGATCAGTGACCGCCATGCATAAGCACAGGAGAAAGTGGCTGCATCCCCTTGAAAACTCACATGGAGTTTTGTGCCTTCCATCTCCTGCTCTGCTCCCATTCTCCACTTTATGCATCCGAAGCATGCAAAGCCTTTTCTGCCTAACTCCTGTTACCAGCACCCCCAGTACCTGCCCCATTGCAGCCAGACTCCAAACTGGAGCATTTCAGAGAAAATGATGCACATTGTCACCTCCTGGGCTGCCAAACACAGGGAGGCTGCAGGGGAACAGAGCAGCCCCTGTGCTCTCTTCCTTCCCAGAGCTGCACCAAGGCTGCAGGCAGCAGCATGGTCCCCCTGCACCAGAAAGCAGCAAATCAGGAACAATGCAGCCTGAATTTGGGGCTTTAAAGGCCGATGCCTCCTTGGTGCATGGTCCCAGATTGTTGTGTTTGGGGAGAAGCCGCACAGCAAAGCTCTGCAAGCCCATGGAACACTTGCACATGCTGCAAGTGCCCCAGGCAGCCAGATCTGAATGATTTTTTCCCCAAAGGATGAGAGGGTCTCACCCCAGCTCCCCTACAGAGGCAGCAAAGGGATGGGAAAAGGGATTGCAGCCACACACACAGTGTTCCTAGCCTGCCCTTCTACTGCACGGGATTTGGCATAGTTCAAAGGGGAACCACTGGGTTTGGTTAGATAAACCTACATTGAGTTCATCAGACCATGCTCCCCTGCAAGGTTAATGCAGTGGTGAAGATACTCTATTACAGGGTAGGAAAGGCACTCCCAGGACACTGCTTTTGGCAGTAAGGATGCTAAGGGAAGGAGCAGTGCCTTTACTCTCCAGCTAGGACTGCAGAGACCTGGTTCTGACAGTGCCTGACACAAAGCAATAATTAACATTTTTAGTTATCTCATCCCTCCCTGCCCCAATGCACCCCAGGCAGGTTCCCAACACTGCTACCACCACCTGGTGCTGAAGCACAACTATCCCATAGCAAAGCGTTGGGGAAGAGCTCCAGGTCCAGGTGGAGCCAAAGCAGAGGGAATCCCTGTGAGCTGGAACAGCACCGGCTGTGCTGGGAAGGAGCCAGGAAGGGGCTTTTTGTTCCTTCACCTCCGGACCACACAACACTGCTGTCACACGACCAAGCATATAAAGCCTCCAAGTGTCTGAACACAGCATTCCAAACTTCAAGGTGAGCTTGCTGGCTCTCACCAGGGCACAGCCTGCACCAGCAGCCACTGCATGCCCTCCCACCCAGCCTCTAGGGTGACTAAAGCCAACAGGTTCTGTTGGATGAGTTTAGTGATTTGGAAGTTCTACTTTTCACCTGCACAGAAGAGTTCTTCTTGTATAGTAGGTTTTCTATATATTGTTTCTGTATGTACTGTACAAGTAACTTATTCTTGAATAATGCAATTTTACCATAATATAAAAAAAACCTGCTCTTAATAAACTGTTTTTAGAACTCGTTTCTCACTTTTAGTATTTCACCTCATTCTCTATGGTGCTGCTATATGAGCAGACCAGGAGCTGCTCGAACTCACAAACCCTCCCTCAGAAATGGAAGCTCCCTGCCAGCAGGAGCAAATCTCCATCATGACTTTTGATGGTCGCATGCCCCCTGCTGCCCACCTGCATTTACTTACATTAATTTCATGCATTTGTGACATCTTCTGCACAGCAACAGAGCAGCACGAGGCTGAGGCGTTAGGGAACGGACCCGAACAGAGGAAATTCTTTTAAAACCTGCACTCACACTTCTGTTCTGAACCCTCCGACTTGTATCTGCAGTGGCCCTGCAAGTCACATACACCTGACGGAGTTCCATAGGTCTGAGGCTGGAGAAGATATTAAAGAGAGATACTGGTAAAGCAAAACACAAACAATACGTAGGTCAGTTTTTAAAACTTTTTTTATTTTTTAATTTTTTTTTTAGTTTTTATTTTATATTATCTACAAAGTAAAAGTTTTCTTAACTTAAAAGTTACATCACTGTCTCACGATAGTGATCATCTCATCAAACGTGATTTATAAATAATAATTCATCAGTTTGACGATTAGAATTTTTTTTTTTTTACTGAACCTGTTTCAAGTTTAGTTAGAAGTAAAAGGGATCTCCAAGTCTTGATTTTTAGTGATAATAGCAGCAAGAATCACTCTTGTTACTTCTTTTGCTAGCTGATGAGTTCATAACTTTGAAGGGTCATTAAAAAATAAATAACTTCCAGTTTTCAGCAAGCAGAGTTGGGGCACTTGCAGGACTCAGATACAGTGCATGGAATTATGGAATAGCCCACAAGTTCCTAAATGCCTCTACTCAGTCCGAATCTCTCCCACTGCAAGATGAACTGTTAGCATTCCTAGTGGATGTTACAAGAAATCAATTTTTTTTTTTTTTTTTTAAACAAAATAAAATGAAATTCTAGTTTTCTGTGCTTCCAGTTGGCAGAAGCAGTAGAAGGAGGGTATTTGGCCTACAAAAGGTATCCAGCCTTTCAGTTATTCCAGATGAGCCTTACAACTGCTGTTGGTGGTGGGCTTGTACTGTAAAAAAAAAGTTCAAATGTAAATAATAGATTGGCAAGCCACACAACAGTTTGCTAGTAAAGTGGTCACAGGACAACTACTGAGCTCAACTTTCTTTTTCTTTCCCTTTTCCTTTTAAAGAACAAAACAATACCCTGCATATCGAGATGTCCTTTGGATGTTTCTCTCCTCCCTAAACCCTCACAAAGCAGCTTGTTCTGCTCACACATTCCCCAAGACATAACATCAGAGGCTGTTTGGAAACAAATAACGATAGACATCTAAGTAACTTTAAAGTGGAAAGAAGTCATATAGCACCTACTTTTCCCCAAAAGTAAAGCTGCAGAATATTACTCTGAATTAAAGAATAGACTTCAATTGTCACTTTACTTCGGTCAGTAGAAGTCTAACAGCACTACCCCCAGGCAACACTGTCACTCCTGTCCTTGGGACCGATCGCTTTAAATTTAACAACCCCCCGGATCATTATGAGCAGGCTACGCAGACAGTCCATTCCCCACAGCAAAACCACGGCAATACCTGGAAGAACACAGCCCCACCGCGTCAGTGTCTGCACAGTTATCCACCTCTGTACTTCAGCTACACAGAAACAAGGTCTTTGCTACATTAGCTAAATCTGGCATGCTTAGCTAGGCTTGTATTTGGGCTGGCAACGTACAAACGCTAAATGCACAAACAGTTTGCCATCAGCAGCCCGCCATCTAAAAAGGACATCTTCCATTTGTTTTCTGATGGTTTTTTTTATTTTTTTTGTTATTCTTTTCCCCAGATCTGGTTCGTAACAGTTCTCCTCGCTACTGTGACCTGGCTCAGTTACGGTGCAGGTCTCCCGGGCACACACTCCTCACCTGAAGGGTGCGTCATATAGGGGAAATGTGTTGTTGTCGAGACTGGAATGGGCTGTAGTGCACTTTGAGCGATGGCGGCTTGGGGACCACCAGGTGGCTGTGTCGTCATTAGCATCATTGGAGCATGGGCAGTTGGGTGAGAAGGAACCATTCCTGACTGTACATGAGCCTGAAACAAAGAGCTCTTTAGTATAATGGTCACAAGGAGGCATCTCTCCTGGCCACATGACTAGCGAATTTTTTCCAGCTCTACCAGTAAATCCAGAGATTTACTCCATTTTAACTAGATTAGCTACAAAGGGATTAAAAAAAAAGATAATAACAACTAAAGTAATAACTTTTAAAAAGGCTCAAATCCTTACTGCTGGCTCCGAGTCACATTCTGAATTTCAGCAATAATTTGGACAGTGCACACTGGGAGAGACCGCTAGCATTAAACAGAGGGATATATATCTCTTTTAAACCTCAGCAACAAATCTTCAAAACATTATTGTTAGTAACCAAGATCAAAGTGCTTCCTATGCAGAGAATGCACTGGGTGCAGATAGGAACCTCACGCTCTGGAGCTCTGGCATCACTTGCTCCCTTCTCATTACACAGCTCCACATTCTTTCATGGCTCCCTGCCCTAGGAACGCTCTCGAGTGACCTGTGCCCACGCTATCTTTCATCTGTGCAGTCATTCTAAGATGAGTGATTTCATCCCTTGATGCTGTTAGGTCAGCTTTGTTCTGTTTCCAGTTAAGCTCATCACAGTTAAGGTCCTCATGTAATCTAAGCAATCATAATTAAGTCTCAGCAGAAAAAAGGAGATTAATCTTCATTATGGCTGATCACCTTCTGGCAAACCAGTTCAGTAACTTGTCGGTTGACTTCTTTTGCTCAGAGTGGCTCACGACTCTAGAGATTGTCAGTTGTTTTGAAAAACAAGTAAACACTGGTTTCTTAAAAGCACAACACATTAAGGAATCCCTAGAGCTTTCAGTCAGTTTGTCTCGGAAAACAAAAATTATTTGCATCTAAGGCTTGCTTTGTCCTTCTACCGGATCCCACTGTCAGGGTGCTACGGTGCAGCAATCGCAGCCTCACGACTTTCACAGGCCAGTAAAGACAGATAGCAGGTAGTGGCTACAATTTTATTTCTTAAAGACAAAAGGGTTATTTGACTCATCACAGACATTCCTCAAACTCTTTATCAGACTTGCACTGTATTAATAGCGCTCAAGAAGCCTTTAAAGGCAGGAACTGCAATTCCAATCTCATTCTTGCACTAAAAAGGGCTTAGAAGATAAGGCTGTGAAACAAAAACACCTTTCAGGATGGGCACCATTTTCACTTTGACAAACATGCTATTACAGCAGCTGTAACTATAAAGCAGCTATTCATATAGCAGCTGGATTCAATGCAGACACACACCGGATAAAAAAAATTCGCTGTGGCTCAAACACTTTGCAAATTGGCAGCTGACAGTACATTGTAATGAATTTTCAAGTACTGCTTCTCAAGTGAGATATGTCTAACAGCTTGAGTCATCTGAGAACCTGAAGGGAAATTCAACTGATCCCCTGTGTTTGCCTAACTGAAACTCCTACTACATATTTCACAATGGTGTTCAGCAGTTGGAAATAGCACTGCTGAGAAACTATTAAATCCAGTGATTAGTTTCCCCACAATGGAATAATTACACACATTTAAAACTTCTTACAGAGCTGTAGTTATTCCTTCATTAGAGATTTTTTTTTTTTTTTTTTTTTGAGGGAACTACTTCATTTCAAAGTCAGTTAGTCTGGTATAAATATCTTGGATTACAGATCGTAATTTTCACCCTAAAAAATTACAGCAGAAAAGACTGCGTACGTTGAAAATCAAGGGTAAAGCAGGCTTTGCCTGCAATTGCTAAAAATCCTGACTAAGCAGTCAGTTCTGGCTAAAACTTGCATCTGATTTGCTTTAGCAAGGTTTGCTTACGAAGTGCTTGGCACACAAAAGGAAGACAATGGCCACATCCTGCAGCGCAGGCACAGGTCTGGCCACGATGTGTACAGCACAACTCCTGTACGCTCTCATCTTTAAGTTGCCTTTGAAACAAACGTGTTTCACGTTTCAAGGCACAGCACTGAGCATGCCACTCACCCCCAAGCTTCCAAGAAGACCCTTCTAAAGAGCTGCAGGTGGTATCTCGAGGCATCTCAAGAAGCTCTTAGACCTAGGCATTCACACCAGTGCCACCACACCAGAGCAGAGCAATAGCTCACATAAGCCAAGTATCTGTTTCCGGCAGAAATCAGCCTGGGAGGACGTGGCAAGGTGCCACAATAGCAGTAGTTACATTTGGGCATCCTCTCTTTATCCTCCCACAATGCAAAAAGAAAAAAGCTTAGCAGAACTAAAAAGTTATAAACTCAACATCAGTAAAACAATTCTTAAAAGAAAAGAAATAATTAATTTGCTTAACTAACTGTCCCAGAAGATTTTACCAGAATTCAGGATGGGACCAGGGTCCTACTTGACTACCCTCCCTACCTGCAGTTAGGTCATGACATCTCAACTTCTGTTAGCCTGTATGGAAGGAATAAGCCAGGCAACTTGATCTGAAGGAGTTGTGCAGGCAAATTACTGATTAATTGTCTGCTCCTTGACAAAGCTTACTAAATCCATGAGATTTAGTAAACATCAGAAAATCTTTGCAGCGCTGCGTTACGCAGAGCTCTTGATTAATCAGTCATGTGCTTCTCTTCCCCAAATCCTTTTTTTCAGTGAGTTGACCACAAGAGACCAGTTAAGAGAAGTGGGTTTCTGATCCTGTAGCAAAGACTGTCATTAAGTTGCCCAACAACCATCGGGGATCTCCTGCACACGCAGTCTGCCTAGAACCAGACACACACACGCACGTAGTTTTCTCTTTTAGCAAGGATTGTCCTGCAAATCATCTGAACTAAATCTTAATCTCCCACTGCAGTGCAGCCTTGCTACTGCCCAGTAACCATTTGTATCATCCTTTACTGAATGTATTTGTACAAATTTGGCTACAACACAAAGCCTAAAACTGCCACCAAAAGCAGCAATTCAGCTTTCTTCCACCCAGCTCTCGTCTCCAATCTTTCTCTATGCCAGCTCTTCCTGTGATCATGCAGTGAACCCGAGTAGTGAACTGATTTGACTGAGAAATAGCCTAAAATAGGGGGAGGGGAGGCACACTTCAGTTGAATCAAGTCCCCAGTCTGGTTTGCTGCATGGCCAAACAGTTCTGTGAGCAGAATGGGGGGGGGGGAGGGGGGGGTGCAGGACAAGAATGGGAATTGGGAACTGGGAAGAGAGCTCAATTTCCTTCAGTTGCAGTGCCAGCTTAAGATGTCTTTATTAAACTACAGTTGTAGATGCACTGGGTATTGGAAGCTGAGGTCCAAATATCTTGTAAAATTCTAGAAGAAAGGCAATGTACAAACAGAAACCTACATAACACAACAGGTAGTTTGTGCTGAGAGGTGACAGAATGGAAATCACTTCAGCAGGCCCGACTGTCCTATCTTTGTGGCATTAAGACATTTAGTCTTGAAGGTTGTTAAACTGTGTTTACCTGGGGGACATGGGCCATGTGTGGCGGATTGGTATATGCAGGTTGAACATGGGAGGGATGAATGGTGAAGACTGTTTGTTGTGCTGTAGGAAAACTATTTTGTGGAGACTGCGTATTGGAGCCTGGCGTCATGGAAGGTGGGGTTGGAGCTAGACCTGCGTGGTAAATTGCCGACTGCTGTTGTGGGTTTGCCAGGTGGAGTGCCTGAGCAGCCTGGTGCTGATGATGCTGGAAAATAAAATAAAAAATAAAAAAAAGAGACAGTAAATCAGTGAGAGTTAGGTTATGGTCTAGAAATGAGAGATGTTTACGTTACTTTCCAGAATAAAAAAAGTTTGCAAAACTGCTCCCCATTGTCCATCTTTTAAGTCACAAATCTAAGAATTCCCATACCTGTGGTCACCAGAAAACTCACTGCAATTGCACCAGGCTCATCTTCCCCTCGCACTACAGCTGTGTGAGGAGCCTGGAAAATGGATGTGCTCACCAGAACCTACACTGCCAGGCAAAAACAAAGAGACCCTGCAGCCTCAGGGTTGGATGTACTTCCTAACCGCAATGAAAGCAGCTCAAAGTCATCACCAGTAGGAAGCTATGGCATGCAGCATTATCACAAGTACTATTTTGCTTTTAGCTGCCTGCCTTGGAGAGAAATCCTCAGCATTAACCTGATACTTTCAACATTAAGCTGCAACAAAATTATGAGTCTCCTTTAATCAAAACATGGAAACGAGCTACACCTCATCCCTTGTGGAGATGGAGAAATGTATGGTCAGACTCATGTTGGCACTTACTGAGGAAAAGGGATTGACACAAGTTTTCCTCCTTGCTTACTCTAGAAATTATGAGACTACCACATTTGGCTGCTACAAGTAGAGAAGAATGAGATGATATATCTTCACTTCTAGAAAACATGGAAAGCTGGACAGTTCCTGCGTGAGATTTATCATGTGCAGGTGGTTTGGGCAACTTCCCCCACCATTCTTCCTCTCAAGGAATCAACAGATCAATGTAAAGTCACAAATCAATGCAATTCCTTCCAGTAGAGTGTTTTAAAAGCAATTTAAAGACATTCACTCCCTTAAGATGTTACCTGCACGGGGCTAGGAGCAGGGTGGCTTCCAGCATGTTGGCTTTGCTGCTGGCCAGTTGGCGTAGCCGAAGGCTGAGGATGCGGAGGGTGCGGATGCAGGGTAGCATTAGGGTGGGCATACTGCTGAGCAAGTGAGCCAGTGGAAACTAGGATGAAAAAGACAAGTATTTAACAACAGACATGGAATATACATTTCATCAAGTCACCATCTGCACTTGAAGATTTCGTTACATCTCTATCATACTGTAAAAATACTCCCTCCCCCTTCTAAAATAAATATTTATCTTGCAAATAGCTGAGTATCTTACCTTGCGTTCATGTAGATTTTGCAGAGCAGTCTATAAATAACCATAATTAGACAGTTCATCTTCCCTAGTTTGACAATGCAACAGATACTACATATGAGAAAAGCAGTATTTCATCTTTGTTTTGTCAAATAGACTGGTTTGAGATATCAAATTTATCTATACAATTTAGTTTTTCCTGAAATGCTCTTTAAAAAGCTGTTACAAGCCATTTTTATTTCCACCATCCAAAAAATTATTTGGCCTTATACCTGGCTAACCTCACCATGCTACTCTTCTGGAAATTGCTCACAGTACAGTCCGTGTAAAGCATATACAGTGCATGTATGCTTAAGAGCTACAGGGACACACAGTATAAACATGAGAGCAGAGGAATTTTTGCAGCAGTCAGCGTCTTGCACTAGAATAATGTCTCTCTCCCTCCCCTCAAGGCCGATTACAGAGTTTTCTGGATCACCACCATTACGTGAGCTTTTCAACACTACCATGAAATTCTTAATTCCTTGAAACAGTAGCAAATAATGTAAGAATCTCCAAAAAAGGGAAAAAAACACAGCAATATGAAACTCACACAAGTGGAACCACATCTGTTTCTACAGCCATACCAGTATCCCAACAGCAAGCTAATATCAACAAGATCCTTTCCAAGGAGGCCTGCCCAGTTCTACTTCAAAAAGGGCCACACTACGTTGCCCTCCCTTCCTCCCCTTTTTACTTTTTTTAATCTAAGGGAATCAAAGAAACCATGAAAAGCCATAATAACAGCAAGTCTTCCTACAAACAAGTGCACAACTGGAAAGTAAGACCTTAAAAAATGAAACTGCTGCCTATTCCCTCCGCTGCTTTTAGATCTTGTGCCACAACCTCTCTGCAGCTTGCAGCTACACTTCTGCACGTGAACACGTGCACTCCTCCTTCCAGTTCTACAGCTTGTCAGGACTGTGGATAGCTTTGCTGACAATGGTGCTGGAAGAGAAACAACCAAAGCAAACAACTTCTCTGAATCTGCTCCCTGCAACTGCTCCTCCTTTGTTCTGGTACGTGCTGTCTTTCTGACCAAAGCTAATCACACTGCTCACTGCTGGGTGACAGCTTCTTTCAGGGGTTTTGTATTTTTGTATTGCATGAAAATTTGAAGTGGTTTTGTTTATTTGTCAGGGCTTTTTTTTTTTTTTTTTTCCAAGGTAGTGTTGTGGTAGCATTTTCTTGCCTTAGTAAACATACCCGGAAAGCAGAGCACAAGGAGTAACTCCAAGTGCAGCTGCTGTGTTGCAACCATCTCCCCCTGCTACAGAAACACAGGGTCTCATTTCTGCAGGCAACTGCTTGCTGCAGCTTCTAAGGAGTTTCACTGTGCTGGGCTCTATGCTCATGAACACACAGAACTGCTTGAATATATAGAAAGGACAAAAGACAAGATGGGAGGAGAAACAACACGAAAACATAGCTGCATCTGAAAGCACAACACTATAGAACAAAAGCCCGTCTCAGACAGCAACCACGCTGTGCTTGACACACAATTACCCTCTGCAAACACTCCTTTTCCTGCAGTTGGGTTTGCTGTAAAGCGGCAAACACCACTCCTAGAAAACTCAGACTTAACAGTATATAAGCATACAGCATCTTCTTGTCAAACGGAAACGTTTCTCCCCTGTGCAGGCCATTATGGAGGTCTCTCCTTTACAAAGTAACTGCTCACCATATTTAACTTAATCTCACCCTGCTGTCTTGAAAGCTCTACTAAACCTTCCCTAGCAAGCGGTCTCACAATGATGCGCACCACAGCGTTTCAGGCATTAATGCAGGTGAACTCCATATGCACTTGTAACCCTGAGTTCTTCCACTGAAGTGTACTCATGCACGACACACGTAGCAAAAACCACATTATCTTCTGCCACACAGAGCACTTAGTTACACTTCCAAAAGCATCAGCAGCAAGAGAAGTTACTGTTTCTCATATCACTACTAAAATTTATTTTGCAGCAGCATCCCTACCACTTTCAGATTTGGACAGCTTTCAAACACCACTCCCCCTTACAAACACTACACCAAAATGAACAACGGAAACCAAGATTATTTTTACAGTATGAAACTAACAGTTTCCTACAGCAGGAAAATTTTCTCAACCTCGCTATTATACAACACTCTGAAGAAGGCCAGATGTTATTACCTCTGTCAAAGTAATAAGCTCACAGTGGGATCCACTTGTTGCCAAAGGGCAGGCTACCAAAGATCTGCCTTCCCCAGCTCTCATTCCACCACCTTGGCCGCAGAGCTGGCACGTCTTCTTCCTCTAAGTTACCTTCTGCTCCATTCAAGAGCTTTTTGAATATACATGGAAATTAATGCCAAGTCATAAGATATTCAAGGCTTCCCACATCCTGCCACACTGCCTGTTAAGAGCCCCAAAATAATGTGGTACTCCCTGAAACCATTAGTGCAATTCATCTTTCATTTCTCTGTGGCCCAGAGAATAACAAACAGAGTTATTCTGAAACAGATACATCACACAATCAAAGTTCACAAGGAGAAATTTCACTCGCAGAAGAACAGTGAAACTGAAGAATTGTGCCCCCAAAATAGGGAAGGGTGGGGAAGTGTCATACCATCAGCTCCCATAACACACCAAGAGTCTCTCAGCCATAGCTTTGCAGAACAAAAATTCTGTTATTAGAATTGTAATTTCCCCAGCTTCTCCTCTCCTGTTTTGTCTTCACTATAAGATCTCTACAAGTTCACTTAAATTGAGCAGAGATGCTGCTGCAAATTATGTTTTAATAGCAATATTAATATTAAAAGTGCATTTCAAAAGAAGATGTTTGCTTATCTAAATCCTGGACACAAATCAGAAGTGGTTCAGGAAGAGTGGCAGCAAGTCTGAAATAGGTGCACTGATCTACGTTACCTCAAACTAGAGGTCAAATTTTAGCTCTAGGAATGTAGAAGGGTTTCCACGCGTAGCTGCTGCAATTAACAGCTTATGACAAGCCACTGAAATCTGTGAAGCAACTCAGCGAGCCTCTTGCAAAATGGTCTCTAGAAATTCACCTACAAAGCCACAACTAAAGCAAGCTCAACAGCTTTTTAACAAATTTCTCCCTATTCATCAAAACAGCTCACTACAAACCAGACAAGACAGGAGGGTGAAAAAAAACACAAAAAGAACACCAACAAATAACAGATCATCCAACATTTTCCCATGTCAGAACTTGGTAGATTTTTCCATCAGCCATCTAGTAACCAAGAAAGCACCAGGAAAGCCCCAGGCAAGGACAAAACAGCTCCACAGATCCCCTTGCTGTCTCCCTTCTAGCACAAACACACTACTTCTCACCTTTGTGCCCTACGTTTCTCTCCCCAAGAAATGCTCCTTGAGGAAACCTGCTGCATCTTTTTGATTGTTTCCCAGCAGGAGAGATACGTAACTGCACTAACCTGGAGATACACACAGCAAAGGTAAGTTGGGCAGCAGTGAGGAGAGCACAAATATCAGATGCATTTAATCACTGAATTCAGCTCTACAGAAGTGCAATCCATGTCAAAGCCAGCTACCAAACCAGGCAAAGGAGCTGAAATCAAGAGGTAGAGTAGCAGCAACCAAGCACAACTCCCAGATATAGAAACCATATTACGTAATTTCTTATTCCCCTGGTAGGAATCTCAGTGCTGCCAATGGTGGCCATCATCCAAAGATGCCCTGAACCCTATTTTCAAGAACTGACCAGCGAACAAACTTCAAAACTATTGCCAGATCCAGTAAGATGGTGAGGATAACTACATTTAAAAGACCTGAATGGTAGGAAGCAAAGCAATAGCAATGTTTCTTTTGGAATATCAACATTTACAGAAGTCATTTCACATAGGCATAGTGGACTTCCTTAAAAGATTATCCACTAAAGGAACGAGGTTCTTAAAATTATTTCCATGCACCAAATCAATATGTATAAAAGAGTACAGGTCAGCATCTCACAAGACTAGCTTAGGTAAAACAAGTTCTGCACAAGGGACACACAGGATAGCTGCTCTAGAAGAGATTTTTGGAGAAAAGTGGTATTTCTCACATCTTTTATGTATCAGGTTATCTAAAAAAAAGCAAAAATAGAAAGAAGAGTGCCTGGCATGGGCTGCAGCTGGCCACACAAGACAGTGTGTGCAGTACAGCAGCAAGTCTGACAGTACCTTGAAGCTGCAGTTCCCTTCCCCATGTCCCAGCTGACAGCTCCAGCCCACTCCATCCAGTCTGACCACCCTAAACACCTTCCTTGGGGCTCTGTGATGAACACCAAAGCACTGCATGTTAGATGTCAGGGACTCTCTTACTCAGTGCTTGCCCAGAACACCTGCAGGGACAGCACAGCACAGAGATGCAAGCAGTGTCCCTCATCCTGGCTGCAGCTTGAGCGAATTCCTCTCAGGGGCTCCGAGCTCGAGCTCCAGCCTTCTAAAGAGATGAGGCACTCCTCCTTTTAAGGAAGTTCATTAACTTGCAAAGTCTTGCATCCCAGTTGGGCCATGGAAGAAAGGGAACAAGAAAGTTCACCTAAGGAAATAAGTGCCACGTGTGGACAGCTTTTCTGGTTGCAGATGAAGAGAGTGGGTACAGAAGTTAAAACACATTTATCAAACAAAACAACTCAATAAAACCCATGCTCCTGTGGTATTTCAAATCTGTTTAACACTTATTCTGTTGAAAGGAACTTCCCTGCCTTTTCTACATACTGGTTTGGTGCAAGGAAACCTGTTCCCCTCAACACGTCCCATTCGTTTAACATCTGTTCTTTAGATAGTGCTTTTCTGTACAATCAAAATTAGTACAAAAAACCCAACTCACTGGCAAAGTAGAAAGAAGGGCCTGTCTCCTTGCTGTATGGTATTTTGGGACATGCTGAATTTGGGAAATAGAAAGGTAAATTAGCCTCTTGCCGCGTGCATGCTGCCCGTCTTCTGGAAAGGTCAGTGTCTTTTTTTTGTTCTAAAGACCGTAGAATCATGCAGATATTTGTATTTACTTAGTTGATATTAGGGTTGGATATTTAATTTTACAACTGAGTGGAGATGAAACAACACGAGTCTCAGGTAAGCCTTCCTTCTACACTGTGATACTGAGGTCTTCAGTTCTTAATTTAGCATTAACACAAATAAACTTTACGTCAATTCATTATCTATTACAATCCACTGTAACAAGAAGGTTAAAATGTAATTACATTAAATCATAAATCGCCCCCCTTGTTTGTTCAACTGTTTCACTGTCATTCTTAACAGTTCCAAGACACCTTTGGTGACTGGTTCACTTAGTCCCTGGAGAATCCTTTGAAGCTTACATTATATCCACCATTGTACTATCAGGGTAATAGAATTTACTCTACTGCTGAGACAGAAACCAGATAAAGTTAGAGACAATACCAGACCAGCAAAACATATGCAGAAGGGGAAAGAGGAAGGGAGAATGGGGACAGGAGTGACAGCACAAAAAACAGGAAATGCATCTGTACAAAACCAAGGTCTGGTTTTACACAAGTTTCTGTTTTGTTTCTAAACAAAAAAGTTAAGTTTTTCAGAGAATTCCAGTTTCTACAAGCATACACAGTTCAGCTACATGGTAACACAGCAATTAATTGACACAGAAATACATCCACCCTCAGCTTAGATAACCAGATTTTCTGCCAATGCCACGGGACAAGCTGTGTCTTTGGGCAACATAGGAACAAGCTGTGAGCCATCAAACTTGACCAGAGCAGCAATATGGACCATACAGAGCCAACACTTGGTGGAAGGTGGTGTGTGTGTCCTGAAACCTACGTGCAGGGTGAGGATGGGTCAGTGTGATGGGGTGTGCGTGGGGCAGCTATCAGCGTGTGCTGCTCTGCTCCTGCAGAACTCACATGTCAACTTCCCATGCTAAGGGAAGCTTCTGTCTCCAGAACTTACGAGCTGAAATGTGTAAGAGCCATCTGTACAGTCTGACTGGCTGACAAGATGAAAGAGGGCTGTGAGAGCCTTCCCCATAGTGTTCTGAGGGGGAAAGCTCAAGGATTTACACATTTCTTTTCTGTGCTCAGATGGGCCTGTGGTGAGCACACAGCTGAGCTGCTCGGCTTCTCTGCTTCTCTTGTCAGCAGCAGTTTGGGAACACAAGCAAGGCACTGGCAAAGAAATCCCAGAAGTGCAGAAATATCCCATTAGACAAAAATATTTTGCTTCAAAATGAAAAAGTGCAGATAAACAAGTGTAAGTCACTGTGTATTTGGAACTGAGAACTCACTTCCTGAGACAGGAACGAAAACAAAAACCAATCTCACGGCAGTGAGGACCAACAAGCATTCCTCCTCACTGCCAGGCAGCTGCTGCTTGCCACAGGCATTCACTTGTCCCAAACCATTGAAGAAGATGGAGTTTCAGAGCTCACCAGAAAACATTTCACACCTTAAGAACTCATAAGCAGTGCCCCAACCCCCACGGCTCAGCGCAGCTGTCCTTGTAGACATCTTCTTTCTACCACATACACAGGAAAAAAATGGAGTGAATTTTGCAAGAATTATCTCAAAGGAAGCACCAGAACCTTGAAGGATAAAAGGACACTGTAACCCACTGAATCCTGATATGAATGGGGGGTGGGGAGGGAAGTCAGAGAATAAAAATAAAAATAGATCAGACTGCTATTTTAAAGAGCCAAAGGGAAATGTGAGAACTTGCTTGAGCAAACGCTCCGAAATCAAAAGCAGCAATGGCTGTTTCTCAGGAAGTTGTTATTCTGGATTTTCAAACTGCTTCCAAAAAGAGGACCAAATTTGATTCAGAATCAGTGTGTGGTGGTATATTTCGCTCAAAGATTCCACGGGTAAGCTTAAGATCCCCAAAATACAGAACATAAGTTATAAACACCTTTGTATATTACCATTCAAAACTACCTGTCACTCAAACTGAAGGCAACGATTCCAGCAAGTTGCATGTCAGCACTTCACTCCATAAGCAGCATTCATCTACTACCTTAGGCAATTCTACATTTCTTCCAAGCAGTCACGTATTGATAAATGGAAGCCAGTGATCTTACAGATGGACACATTCTCAGGAAATATCATCAGCCTAGGCAAGGTCTTCGAGTAACACATGAAAGCCTTGCAAAAACTTGGGAATCGAGAGTGATGCACTATATCTGAAGTCATTCCATGGGTAAACTAACTGTAAACTTTGAGTCAGCCCATGTTCACAAGGCAATAAACACATTTACACATGGCAAGACCAAACAGTCTTTTTTAAAAAAAGTGTCTCATATGGTGTTCAGGATCCAACCAGGCTGAATGTTTTCTATAAACAAGAATTTTAAGTGCTTGATCTTTTACTGGGAAGGTGGGAGAACGTTTGGAAGAGTCACCAGTAGGCACTTGAAAGAGCAAAGACATGCAATTTCTGTAAATTAGGTGGAAAAGTATTGTTTGAATTACGTGGAAGCAAATATTAAAGAATTCTCAATTTTGACCCAGCCTAGTTGTGCATGTTGGTAGCTGGTCACATACCTACAACAGATAAGCCAACACAAACCAACACAAAATGAGAACTAACTGTTGTAAGTTAGAATCTCAGTGAAAAAACTATGCAAACTTCTTATCAGAGCCAAACAAGTGGAAAAGGCTTGTACTTCAATGCTGTAGAACCCAGTGCTCATGGAAGAGAAGGATGGTGCACAGTGGGAAATTGCTAGGAAGTAACAAGCAACCATTCTGAACAAAGCTTCTGAGATTCTCTCATGTCTAGCTTTATTTTCATCAGGGTTTGAGGGGAGAGTTTTCACCAATAAAGGTCTGAAAGCCTTTGATCATTCACTGTATCAGAATTCTATTTAATCTAATGAGAAAGCAAACAGAAGATCTGTTTACATGGACACCTCAAGCACAAGAGTTGAAAAGATCAAAGTAATACATTTAGTAAGGACCTGTGAGAGAAAGACTTAAGCTCTTCATGTAGCTTCCCAGTTCAACTTTATTACAAATGAGCTGAGGTGTTCTTTTAAATAGCAAAAAAGATTTCTTGCTATTGTTTTTGTTTCTTTACTACGTTACCATATCACTGCAGAGATCTGACAGGATGTTTCCAGATGGGTAAGACACAGTGTGAAATTAATTTTGATTTAAACAAGTCTAAATTTCAGATTTTTAGCCTTGTTAAGTTTTCATGACACATCATGGAATTCCATTCAGTATTAGAGTAAAACTAAGCATCGGAAAACATACAAAGATGTCTAAAGGTACAGAAAATCTTTTATTAGAATCTAAGTCAATAATATACGTGACCCAATAAAAGTCTTCCTCAGATGCTGTAACAAGTATTGAAATGCCATGTTTTCAAGAGACCATCTGTCGTTTTGACAATTTATGACAATTTTCAAGCCTTCTAGCAACCTTGATTCTACCTCTTTCCATACCATGTTTTGCAGCGAGGCTTTCCCTTCAAAAGGGGCATTGATTTATCATACATTTGCAATGCTTTAGAAGTTCTCACATTATAGTTTGTAACAAGGAAACCCACATTTTCGCCATTTCACTCTAAGTGAAATATGCTCATCTGGTGATGCTGAAGACCAAAGTCAAAGCAATACATGAGTTGTTCCAAATACTTAAATCTTGACTTACCAAAAAAGAAAGGTAAGCAACACAAGTTTTATTTTGCTTAGACAGTAGTGTTTGTACTGTTAATAATGCTAGTAGTATCATAAAGACAGCATTTCACTAGTTGTCAGAACTAAAGTCAAGTTGTGAAACTGAGGTCACAGCCTTGCAATAAAACCAGTCCTACTTATAAACAAGAAACAATCAAGGGATGTTGTGTCAAGGGCATCAAGAGAACTTGAACAAACTTCTTTCAGCAGATATTCTTTAGCAGCTCCCAGCTTGAAATTTCATCTTGGTCACTGGCATCCTACTGAAATCAGCACACTCGAGCTTTCATTTTAACCAGGTGGCTCAGTTTTCAAAGCTTTGCTCATCATCTTATGATATATAAACCACATTTACTGGTGTAATTTTGAGCGATACCCATATTTGAAACTCGAGATTTAAATATATCCCTGCACAACGTAAGAGCTTAAAAAGTTACATATAACACAAAACGTTTCCTACCATACATAGCATGCGTCTGTTCATGCGCACCATACTGTGTTGCAGAAGAAGATACTAAACCAGGCTGTGCATGAGTTGGTGGTGCCATCATTCTAGCGTTGCCCTGTATTACAGGGCTATAAACATGAGGATGCTGCATTCAACAGAAATAAGAAAAAACAGGCAGTTAAGATAATTACAAGAAACTAGTCTGATCTAAACAATAATTATGTATTTAGAAAGAGCAATAGCTTGGCCTTACTGAAAACAGAGGGCAAACCAAGGATTTTGTACTATCACGCCTATCCCAGTTGTTCTAAGAACATAAGGATGTTTTCTGCAGTGGATTAGAAGCCAACAAAAACCACTGGCATGCCTAATTTCTGCCACTCTAATTACGTAAGCTTACGTACATGATCACATATTTATCCAATTAAGTATGTTTATTTAAAAGCCTTTGCATTAAGAGTACAATTGTATTTTCAGAGCTTAACTAGATGTCCTGTCTCTGACCTGCTCAAAAAAGGTAATATCAACAACAAATGACAGCTTCTAAATTGACCTTAAAACTGCTAAAGGCTTTGAAGCACTTTACAATACCAAATATGCTCCAGAATAGAGAAACCTTCCAGACTGACTTCTTAAGACCAGACACAGTACGGTATTTGGGACTGAATCCCTTGTCTATCTGTCATGCCATATCACATACAGCAAAAGGACTCTTACCTGCGACTGGTAGTGTGGCACATGCTGCACAAGAGGCTGATTAGGAAACTGCTGGGGACTATATGCAACATACTGTGTTGAATAAGCAGGCGGTGTAGCTACAATTGGAGGGCCTGCTGCTGAGGCAGGGTGCATCATGGTGCTCTGATGATGTTGGTCTTGCCGCTGCTGTGGCATATTTGGTACTGCAAAGCAAAAAGCACCACACATTAGAAATACAGGATGAAAAATGCTAGTTTTACTGAAAGCTTTCACATTACAGTGCCACTGTTACCAAACGGAAGCTCCTCAGCTCTTATTTTTAACCTCCTTATTACAGTTCTATTAGAAAGCAACAACACAAAAAGGAGTTCCTCCAAAAAGCATTTGTCATCACTGTCTTTTAAACATATACACAGCCACAAACTCAGACCTGTTTATTTTGTGAAGAAAGAAAGGTGAAGAGAGAAAGAGACTGACAAGAATCAACAACAAGAGAGAAGGGTTATGTCAGGACACCTACATTAATTCAGGTTGATCCTACCCCCTTCAAAAGGCTTCATTTATCCTCTACAGGAACCACTCAGCAACTGCTCCATCAACTGGAAAGCTGAGTGTTAACACTGCTTATGCTCACGGCTGAGGAGAGCAGAATAAAGGTCTCCACACAGCTGCAATTTCAGGTATTTGCATCTCTTAATCTCTGTGCTATCCCTCAGGATAGCATAAAGGAACTTTCAGGTCATGGTCTACACTGAAGGGGACAAAACAATCCATAGGAAGAAAAGGAATAGAAATAATTGGAGGGTTGAAAAGATTAAGAAAGCAGCGTGCCATAATGTGGGACTAAGTAACAGGGCATGATAGCTTTGGGTGAGCTCCAGTTTGCTGTAGTGAGCATGTAACTAATAACTGATCTAACTCAAGCACCTGTAAACTCCACTGCAGAATGCAACGTTGTCAGACCTCTTAGGCAGAGGGAGAGGGAAATGTTGAAGATATGCCAGTGAATTCACTCAATAATGATTATGTTTACACTGCAAACCAGCAAATGAAAAAAGTAAACACACAATACAACTTGAAGACAGTAAAGGCACTGAACTCATGCAGCTCCTTCAGGGCTATGTTCTTCAGGGCTATCCATGAATGGATACAGAGGAAATACTGACACTTTGGAAAGGAATGCAGAGCAGAGACTGGCCTTGCAAGGCAGGAGTACCCATTAGCACTTCTAATTAAAGCAATCAGCATTAGCAAATAAAACATTTCATTAGTCAGATCACAGAGAAGCTGGTGCTCTTCAAGCAGAAATACATCGCAGGTTTTTGTCTTCCCTGCTTTCAAAAAGCCACCTGTTTACTTCTAAACTGCTCTTTCAAATAATTTCCTACAGCAGCAGTTGATCTGCAGCACTGGAACCTACCATCATGAACCACTGTACAACGCTGCAAGAAAGCATGCACTATATCAAATTAGAACAATATCTGAAACAGGGCTATAAAAACAAGACCACTGTGGGTTTTTGCTCCCTCTCTGCACTGAAGAGATGAGATGAGTGCATCTCACCACACACAGGTGTCACTTCTAAAATAATGGCATTGTTAGTCCAGCTGCTGTAGAGGGAATGCAAAAGAACAAACTGGAACCAGGAAAAAGTCATTTGCAGATGCATAACTATACTCTTTCTGAAAAAACAGATTCTTCTCATTGACAAAAACTCGATTAAGGCACTGCTCAGGGCTCTGCTGCAAATCGGTACAAAGAATACACCAAGTTCCCTTTTAAACAAATCTGTAATATTTATGAGGAATAGGAGGAAAAACAGCTTACACTAATTTTCCAAGTAACAGAGACATTTTCCAGTTTCTTAAATTAAATTCCAAAAGCAGAAATGTCATGTTACTCAAAATTACAATGGATTTGGCCAAAGTACATTACCTAGAAACGACTATTTCCACTTAACTCACCTTCCTTAAGAATAGTATTTAAAATCCCAATTTGAAAACAAAAGCACATGGGTTAGAAAATACACAAACATTTGTTATTTTGTTCATGCTGCATGCAAACTAAGAACCAAACAGGCAGTATTATTCTCACCTTTACCTGCTCTATATGTCTTGGCTTGGTTCACTGGCATGGGCGTCATGGGTATAGGATACAAAGGCTGAAACAGAAGAGGAGTTTAAGCTAAAGATTCCTTTTAAAAATGTGTATGTGTCTGTTTTGGGGTGAACAGCTTTCAGACCTTTCACTCTAAGTCAAAAAATAAAAAAGAAATACAATGACCTCTAATAGTACTAGAAGCCATTTTTCTTCTTAAAACTTTACTGACACAGGTAACAAACACAACATTCATCATGGCATATCAGAACTCTCTGTAATAAGTTTCCACCATGAAATTGGTTTCAAGACCTGCCATATCCTGGTTTTCAAACTCTTTTCAGAGACTATTTATACAAATGTAATGCCTTAGTTAAACATAAGACTGAAGCCTCACAGAAGTTTCTTGCAAACTCCTTTATTCCAAACAAGAAGAACTCTTGTGACCTTGCTGAAGCTGACAACTAAATCACTCATTAACACATTCTGAGCATAATGAGTGTTTTATGAGAGCAAAGTTAGATCAAGAGTGATTGCTTCCTCCACTACCAAAACCTTTAACCACAACGTTAGGACTGTTAACCACATTTTTTTTTAATAACCAGCAACCATTTTGAGCAAGAGGAAGAGAGAAAAAAAATATTCCGGATTTCAAATACAGTTTAGTGAACTCTGCCTAACCTAACCATTCCACTGTGACTAAGTCTGCACGTACAACCAACCAAGACCATATGGTTTGCAATAACCTGCCAAGTAATGCTAGTATTGTTACTGCAAGCAATGTATTAAATCAGACAACTTTATAGCAGTTAAGTCTGAAAGCCCAGTGATCTCTGCAACAAGCAGAAATTAGTGGGACACAGCTGGAAGCTAAGAACAAAAAAAACCAGTTGCTTAAAACTTAAGTTAGCAGTACTGTGCTGGGAGCAATGGGGAGGAGGTCTGTGCAGATTAACAGTAAATGCAAGTAACAGCTGCTGGAATTTACAAGTGTTTGAGACTATTATAGCTCTCAGGTTGAAAGGCCACTGGGGGAAAGTCAGTATTTACATAGCTAAAACTGAACAACAATGTAATTGTTCCCATATTTATGGGAGTAGTACTTAGATGTCCTAAGTCTCCCCTTTTGGCTGACAATCATCTGAAAAGTGTCAACAAATTTACATTACGTGCTGCACTTTACCTGCACGCCTGGACTCACTGGAACCGGGTACATCATATTTGGTGCAAAACAAACAGGCTGAGTGTACACTGGAGTTGGCTGCTGATGGCCCACCATGGAAGGGCTTGGTTGAGCTTGTGGGCGAGGGGAGGTTGGTGTAGTAGAAGGCTTCGGCTACAAACAGAGTTCAGCAATGCATATGTAAGATTAGCTTGACTGTACTTCAAGTAAAAGGTTTGCCTCTGAGCAAATGTTAAACACTATCAATTAACTTACCTGAGCAAAAGATCGAGGGTTGAATTCTTTTGCATTAGGATTCAGTGTTGATTTTCTAACTTGCCTAAACATAAAGAACAGCAAAATACATCACTGAGCATTATTCCATTACAGCACATATGTTGAACTCCCTAACGATTAAAAATCTACAGAGATTAAATATTTCATTTCCATCTGTGAGTCAGATTTCTGAGAACTCAAACAACACAGCATACAAAAAGCCACTCTCACTGACGCTACTCATACTGCACTTCTCCACAAAGAAGTTTTCCTGCTGTTGATACTTCAGTTCACACGAGGCAGGAAAACACTTAACTCATCATCTAGACATAGAACAGACATCAAGAGGACTAGAGCTACGCTTGCAGCTCTACCACTGACTCATAAGATGGTTTTCATTCAGCACAGGCATCTCATCTGCTGTTTCCTTTGCTCAATTAAGAGACAAATTACATCAGTCATATAAACATTAGGATATAACATGTTCATAATAGCTTTTGTACTAACAATTAAATGCTAATAACAGATTTGCTTATTCTAAAAGACATAGTTACTCACTCAGAAGTATCCTTCTTCTCCTCTTTATCCTCTTTATCTTGTTTGCTTCCTGGACCAGATGTCTGTACACCTTGTGAAGTTACCTCCGGCCCTCGCTTTTGCTCAGAACTATTACTTATTGATGGAGAAATACTAGGACTATTGGGTTTGCTACTACCACCATTAGAGTTAGTATTACTGCCAGTTTCTATGATAGGTTCTTTAGGGGCTGGTTCTGTCTTTTCTTTAACTACATCTCTTGATTTTTCACCTTCTCGGGTTTTGTTTAGCAGCTGATCCACTGCATCTGAAGAGGAACTTGACTGTAACTGGAAAAGAACCCAAGGTATATGTCCATTAAATTAATACACAAAACTGGGAACAACAACCTAACACCATCACAGCGTACAGTACAGTTCCATAGACCTCAACCATTTGGAAATGACCTTTTCAAACACGTATTTCTGGTAGAAAAAAAAAAAAGAACACTGACAACATTTTAAGCCTATACTTTGCAAGAAGCTTTTCAGAGGTTGTCTGACCTACATGTTGATTAGGAAGTGACAGGAAAGCTTAAGACCATGCCTTAGACTCAGCCCCCTCCATGACATTTAACGGTAACTCTTGAAAAGCTGACCTGATTTAGTAAATCATTACAACCAGGAAACATGCAGTAGAACCGCAGATGTTTGTCTCCAGTTTTTCTCAGCTAAACTCTCCATTAAACTCTGAAGCAGCTTTTCCACACACAGCACAAACATGTTAATTCTTTGTACCTAACTCTCACACAGGTTCTGAGCAGCTTTTTCAGCGTACAGTATTTAAGCTGATATGCATACTTGTGCACTAAGCAATCAGACAAGCAAGACTTAGCAGTGAATTTTATAACATTCAGTGTGAGCTCTTATGGACATTTCCACAAATTGAGCACAAGTTTTAAGGCAATGTTTCCCCATTAACATATGCAGTGTATTCAACTCATTAAAGTAATCTGGATGCATGAGAACTACGATACCATTAAAGACAGTGGACAGAGAAACTTACCCTAAAGTCATTCTTAAATTTCTTTAAATCATCAATCTGTTTTCTATGTTCAGAAACAATTGGAGATACACCTGCCAAAGACAAGACCAGAATTGTCCAAGCATCTCTAATGCAGGTTTTTATCTACAACCACCACATTCCTAAATTTGCAAAAAGACAATGCTTGCATATCTAGAAATTAAATACAGATACATCACTTTATCTGCAATTTGGTATCATCCCATGATCTGCACGTATGAGGACACAGAAATAGTCTGTAAGAGCATGGCATTATGTAACTGACACATCTATAGTTCTAACACACACTAAGACAGAAGCCCTGAGGTATAAGGACTGCAGAACCCAGATGAACACAAAGAAACATGCAATAGAACCCTCAAAGCAAAACATGCCAGCATTTAAAAAATATCAGTTAAAGCTGAAATGCTGACCAAGTTCCACAGTGCAAGAAGATTTTTATGAGAAATGCAGTAACAAGCAATACTGCAGAGAAAAAGGCAACATTAAGGCATAATAGGAAGAAGTGTAGTTAAAAAAAAAAAACCTGTGTGGATCACAATGACCAGAAGTATTGTGTGCACAGCTCTAAGTAAAAACCCCATCCAGACCAGGAGGAAGAAGGGAAAAAAAAACCACCAAAAAACACACTATCCACATGAATATCTCTCTACTCTGAGTAGCTGAAAGGAGTCAAGAGCAATACTTAAAACTGTAGGTCTCTGTCACTTTAGAACTGCATGACATGATTTTCCCTATACAACACCCAAGACAGATTACCTCAAAGTTTTCCTTAAAACATTAATTAAACTAGTCAGTATAGCAGGTTTAGGGCTCAGAATTATACATTACTCAAGTACTTATGGAAGCTTTTGATACCAACCTTTGCTTTCAGGTTTAGGAAAACTAGGAGAAGTCTCACTTGGCTTTATATTCTCCTTGTTTCCAGCTGCAGAATTTTGCCTCTGGTCCTGAAGCCTGGTATCTTTAGCTAGAAAAGAAGTTGTCAAAGTTATTCTCTGATACACAACTAAAACTGAATAAAAAGAGATGACAAGATGGGAACAAAGGAGAGATTTAACCACGTTTAGCTTATAAAGGAAAATCTCTATGTTACACATCTTCTGCTAGCTCTTTAGGGTCTGGAGAGTTATCCTTCCTCTTTGCCCATCCTATGGCTATTAAGTCAAATGAAAGTGTCCCAGACCTCGCTCCTCCTGGTCATACACAGATCCTTAGCTAGTGAAAAAACCCTTCAGAACGAAAGGGAATTATTTCAGATAGAAAAGCTCTTCATATGTAATTTTACAAAGATTTGAGAGTCAGATCTCTATGATTGTGCTCATGGAATGTTCGTTCTTTCACTATGCTTGTAACATTCTAAGAAATTAGTGATCTGAGTTTCTTCAAATGAGAAAACAGCAAAAAAAAAAAAAACCCATTAAAAAAAATATTCTAAATTAGGTCAAATACCCATACTTCTATACCTGATAAAGGGCAGGGGAAATTAAGTATGCAGTCTAACTAAAAAGCCTTTTGAACCTTACTTTTAAGTCATCATCGTGGGGAAAAAGGGAACTCAGGACATAGAAAAATCAAGCGCATCAGTCAGAATTTTTCCCATCATTTAATAAAGCAGCTTTGATCTTGTAAAGGCATTTCCATTTTCAGAGATGAGGCAAGGGAAGCATCTGCCAGCTAGTGAGGGTTACTCACCTTCATTGGAAGGGGTAACTGCTCTGTTGGATGCAGGACTGGCAGGTGTCGGAGAGGCAGCTGGAACAGGCATGGCAACAGATTCAGTGGGAATAGTACCAGGCTGAGGAGAAGGCAGAGCTGGTCCTGCAGGAGTGCTGCTCTGCCTTGGGGACCTAGGCCTGTGTGTTTTAGGGGATAATCTTGGAACTAGAAACAAACAGGAAAAAACAGTTATAGGATAAGTTTCCTCATTTGCTCAGCAGTTTGCTTAATTTTAAAATGACTAAGAACATGCTTTAAAATATTTAATGGAACATTATCTAGTGACTGAAAACCTGTTTACCTTTCAGGTACATCTCCTAGTTCTTTACAATGCAGCATTTCAGGTAAATGGTGCCATTTTCCTGCAGATTGTCCCCTAACAATACCACTGCTCTGCAGATTCACCAAGAAACTGCAATGTGGTCTCTGGCCCCTCAGTGGTACAAGAGCCCACATTAACAAAGTTTCAGACAGGAAAGAAAAAGGTGGTTGCAACTCCACACAAATACGAAACATTTTTTGAAAGGCTGGGGGGGGGGAAAAAAAAACACCAGCCAACCATCTTCCACTTTACAGTGTGCCCTCCTATGGAGGTTTGCCAGCTGCAAAAACCAAAACCAAAAACAAACAAACAAAAAAAAACGACAAAAAACCTCAGCACATCTCATTGAAAAATCTGAGGTCCACTTCTGTCCCTGCATTAAAGCAGCAAAGAAAGCTGTGTATTCTTTAAAAGGTAAGTTGTACCTCCTGCTTCCTGCTCATCTCACAGTGGCTAGTTAGTTCCTTTATGTCATACATTCATACATAAACTTCAAGTGAGCAAGAAGAAAGAAAGGTAAATTGTTTAACAGTTCTACTTGCATGTCATTGATATAGAAAGTCGGTGTAGGAAGGGAAGATGAATTGGAAAGAATGCCAGAACAGAAGCGTTTAGAACTTTTCTACAAGGCAACCAGTTCTATGGGTTGTCTGTGTGTTAGGCAGTAAGTCATATCTGCTTCCTAAAAATGCCTTCCCATCGCCCTTCTCTACAATTCTAACACCACTAAGAAGTATCAGACTCTGAACTGTTGCTCACTTGCACCTGGAATCAAGAAAGCACTCAGCTGCTGACGACTGACCAGAACACTGTCCCAACTACAAAACCAGGGTTGCTGTCACAAGACTGAGCTTTACATTTAAAGCCAAACATGGAAGAAAAAAAAAAAGAAAAAAAAAAAGTGTTAGCTGATTCAGAAAATACATTGATTCTATCTACTGCTACAGTAGTTATGACAAACACAACACAACCACTTAGAATCTGCATCGTTTTTTAAAGAAAAAAAGTACGTCCAACTTCACTTGAGTATTATTTCATCTTTTCTTGTAATGCCAGCCTTCCTCTACGCGAATGCCTCACTCCTTTCTAAACCATAACAATCCAGCTAGGCTGTCACTAACCAAATTCAGCAGAAAAGTATCTAACTTTTTCTCATCTCCTTCAATAACATGCCAGAAGGTTATTTCTTTCAACAACTCCCTCATTTTTCCTTTCTTTCATACAGCAACTGACCTGTCCTGTCTGCAATTCAGACAATATTACACTTTAAGGATCAACTCACCAGTTGTTTCACTAAACTACCTGGTAACATCCTTCTCCAGCATCATCTAAGCAAGCTAAGTTAGCAACCAGTGTATTCAGAGCCTGGGTTGTCTAGAAACGCAGCACTCTGCTTAGCATTAAGACTCTAAGATACCCCTGGCAAGCCATCTGCAATAAGCCAAGCTTTACCTACCCCCACTGACAACTGATGACCACGTCCCACCTGAAGGGCTGCCTCGTGCCACTGCAGTAGTAGATGCTTCCCCTGGTGCATTATGAGATACAAATTCTAAGCCACTTGAAATTGTACCCCTACCAGTAGAGACTCTGTGACCTCGAGGGTGCCGTTGTGCCTTAGGAGACATCCGTGGAGGCCCTGAGAAAAAGAAGACAACCCCACACAATAAGTACTCGACATCCATCACAAAGCATACTCAAGTATACTGTCTGTTTATAAAAGTGGATTTAACCTAGTAACTCACAATAATGCAATCTCACTGGCATAGACTAGAACCAGGGATCTGTGAGACCAAAAAGATCAAGCCACTGGTTCAGCCAGACTAGCAGCATCCTCATCACCTTACTAAGAAAAAGTATATTAATTGATATTTAGAAGTTTTACCAGATTTAAAAATTTGAATCCAAGCATCCAATATTGCTTACAGCAAGAGAAGACAAAAAAAAATTAGTGGCCCATCTCCTGCTGGATGATCACAGTTCTGAGCTGTCAAACATTTCCAAGAGGAAAAAAAAAAAAAAGGATTGCATTGTTTTTGTCAGGTGGTCAGTGATGCCAAACATTGATTTACAGAGCAGCTGCCAACCCTGGCTGACCAACGCTGGTGGGGAATTCCAGCAGATCATTCTGCACAGAGGCTGAATTGCCTGCAGCAGGTCACAATTCATTAACAAGTCAGCAAAATTGCAACTAAACAAGTTATTGTTATCCCAAGGTTCCAGTCATGCATGTTTAACACCAGAAGCTGAAGTCATAAGAGAATACAGTAATTCTGAACAGTTTATACAGCTGCCACAAAAAAGCCATACTCAAGTCTGAGCAGCCATACAGTTTCTACATCCTAACAACATTTTCTTTACAAGATCAGATTCAAATGTTGATACCCTAGAAGGAAAAATGGTGGATGAGCATAAGACAATCTGGCTGATGACAGTTCATTTTTCATTTAGATCAGTAACAGAAGTACAGGTAGCAATTTCCTGGTTTCATTTATATAAAGCTCTAAAATGCCAAGTACCTCTTCTGGTTATATAAAACTTTAAACATCAGCCTCTTTTTTAATCATGAATCTAAAGCCCACTTGAATCCAATTTATATACAAGCACGTATTTTACAGAATACACTTCCCAGCAATTCTCATGTTGCAGTAAGCAGTTCACTGCATGCCTGACAAGACAATCACAAGTGCTCAAAAAATAACTGAATTTGTACACGGATTCTTTATATCTTGCTACTTCAAAGAAATCCCACACTGATAAGTTTAACTGGCAGTAGAGCACCACGCAGACATGTTTGCTACTGTCCACTTTTTGGTTACGGATCATGCTGAGCATTTATCAGGCAAGCCATAGAACATGCTACTGATTCAGTGAGCACGATTCTCTAACCTGGCTCCAGCAGAGCCTATCATAGCAGAGAGTGCACGTTTCCAGGGAGCTTAGGTAGCCACCTTACATTTTTCCAGGATTGCCAGACTGTGCTGTGCAGGACAGGCTTTTGGTTGTTTGCTTTTTTTTTAGTGCACTTAAAAATTTGGACATTTTTTCCTTATTCAGAGTACAAATACATTTAGTTCAGATTCTACTGCATACAGTTACCAAGGATCATGTGTCAAAGTTTCCATGCATACATTTGGCTACCAGGGACTTTTCCTGCCTCAGTGCACACTTAGACCTAATGTCTTCTACTGATTCATCTTTGAAGCAGCTCATCCTATCCCATTCCACACTGCACTTGTTTAACTATAGTGTTCTCTTTTTTAAAATAAAGGTTAAATTTGAAACTGCTTTTTGTGAAACAACTGTTTTCATATATTTTTTAGATTTTTATAATTTGATATTCCTAACAGTGCTCTCTAAACTCATCGGGTCCTGCATGTCGTTGTTGGTTAAGACACTGAGCAGCGTTTACAAAGCTGAGTTTATTTCATACCAACTTGGGAAATTTCACAGCTTTATTTTGTTTTTGTAAAGCTCTTCAAATAAAAAGGTTAATAGAAATAGTCTGATAAACTAAAGTTAAACACAAATTATAGGTTAAGTAATGAAGAGGAAAAACAATTTTGTAATTAAACTCACAAAGGAGTTAAACAAAGACAAACAAAAACATGAACAAATTGTGGTATTGTACCTTCTGAAGACATGCGTTTAGGCATAGTAGAGACAGGAGCTGGAGAACCATGAGCAGAGGGGTGAGACGGGGGCCTGGAGGGCCGCGAGGGGGGCCTGGAGGGCGGCCGTGTAGGGGTGGCTGCCCGAGGTGGAAGAGAGTTGGGACCTGACTGGTAGCGAGAAGGTGGGCGAGAGGAAGGAGATGGGCAAGGCGATGGCCAGGGAACACCTGACAGAACAAATGATATGAAGGAAAGTATAAAAACTAAAGAAAAATTATGGGGAAAAAGGTCAACAGAAAAAAAAAAGTAAAATATGACAAAATGATTTCTCACGTTTAACCCTTTGGGGGTAGGTTAATTTATTTCTGCAACCAATAAAATAGTCTCTGTAAGGTTCTGGACTCTGCTTCGGGTCAAATTTAATATCTGAACGTCACAAACTCCCCAAAGGGTTAATTAGGATCTACAAATACTACTAAGGAATAGACAGTAAAGTTTGATCTGTTAGCCTACCATGTATAAGTTCTACAGTACGCATCGGTCCTCCATCAGCTACCAGAGGCTCTCGTACAGCGTAGGACTGAACGCACAAACTGCTACTTGCAAACCAAATGATGAGCAGTACCAATTCTAGGAACTGTATCTTTACAAAAAACAGCGGTGTTCAGTGTCTGAATCCTGACATCTATGCCTCTACCAGTTACCTGTGGTATTAATGTGGTATTTTAATCTAGGATATAGGGTTCATTGTTTCCAAACCAAATATGTTTTATTTATAAGCCATTTTGAGTATGCTAAGTGTATGATGTTGACTCAGCAAAGTAATAGGATGGCACAGACCACAGATAGTACAAATTTCAACTTGTTTGGGCAAGACTCAGTCGTACATCCTTTTTATATTTGACTCTATTTAAGAAGGTTTCACTTACCTTTAAATATCTCTGACTTCCTCTCCACATAGAGGCACTTGAGCATTATGCTTTTTTTTTTTTTAACTACTATTATTTTTAATTCACAGCAATCTCATTTAATAGTGCTTTTAACATATAGAAGCAGTGCCTCAAAGGTGGGCTACTGCTAAAGTCCATCTCCCCAAAACTGGTATTCAGTTTATAAATCACCAATTTCTGCTATTCAGAGCCTGGCAATGTCCATTCATAAATGTTACCTATGCATACAGCAGAAAACACTCAAGTAACTATTTGGAGAGAAGACTTGACTGATTTTCCTGTAATAACTTTTCCTAGTTTCCCATCAATGGTTTTTCCACCCACATGATGGTAAAGCCAGCGAGTTGCTTTCTCCTCTATAATAGGAAGCAGAACTCATCCAAGCACCAGGAAGGAAGGCACTTGCCTCCTCCAGTCCACCACCTCCCTTTCACTAGATGTCAGTATTGCTTTTCCTCAAGAGAAAGCTAAGCAGTAGCATAAAAAAATTCAAAAAAGCAATTTTTCATCTTTAAAGCTGCAGACTGCACCATCATCTAAGACAAAGGTAGAAAGCAGGTGACACTCTGCTGCTCTGCAAAGCTATAGACGATGCATTCAAATGAATGTTTTGTTATCAATATCTTAAACCCAGATGAAAAATCACCACCTCTGTGTTAAATGATGCATGCTAAGCAGCTTGTTAAATATAAATACTAAAATCACATCTCATGCAGTTTCAACATTAATTGGGTAATTCATTGCACTTTTCTAAGGCACATTAATTTCAACTTCAGATACTTGCCTCCGTTAACTACTCTTTGATCTGCTCCAGAGTTAGGACTGAAATCTGAAGTGTGGGATCCAGACCTTGAAATTGGTGGGCCTGATCCAGACTGGCCCATCCTTGGTGAATTTTGTCTTCCACTTCCCCAAGAAAGAACATCCCTGTTTCTCCCGCCAGGTGGAACGTACTTACTTTCCCTGAAACACAGCAAATTTCTATCAGTGTTGAGGAAGATCTGGAAAATAACGAGTTCAAGAACTCTTTGCTGATACTCCCTATCTTTCTCAAAACAAGCTCAAAATACAATCAGATGTTGATCAAATATTCACCCTATGAATTATCCTTTGATACTCACTATACTTTCCACTACTTAAGAGCCCACAGACACTGAATGCATTAGTACTAAGGCCTGAAATTCTCCATGACACGCTGAAACCACTGCCTTTTCCTGTAATTTGGTATGAATTCACCCCAGTGAAATATCAGAATGGAGAAGTCTGTTTCGTTACAGATAACACAGGGCCAAGTAGAGGTGTACAGGTCAGCACAAGTGCCAAAACCAGCAAGTGATTGTTTACACAAGATTCCTAACCTAATCAGCCCTGCTGAAAAAGCACAGTTTCAATGAGTAAATTGCTACTGTACCAAAATATGTACATCATTTAAATAAAAATACTATTCATAGTGTATGCAAGTACCTAGTGTTCACGCCATGACCTTCTCGCTCATTAGCATTTCTCTGAACAGCAGTATATTTTTCTTCTTCTGTTCTTTCATCATTTTCCAAGGCAACCCGAGCTTTGTATTGGGCACTTGATTCAATTTCCTCTGCTAATTGAGTTGCTCTGGCTTCCCGTTTCAAAAACTCTTCTGAATTATCTCTTTCTAATGGCACCCTGAAAGACAATGGAAGGCAAAGAACATCTGAAATGAATTCAGAAGTACAAAGAACCTACAAAATTATATAGCATTAATTCTAGATGGACAAATTGCAAACCAAAATATTAAAAATTAAAAAAAATAACACACAAGCTGCTTTTAAGCCAGGAGACTTGCTATGCTTTTTTAAGAATAGCAATATTTCTGGACTGGTTTGGCATAACTTACAAAATCAGTGCCGTTTACCTGCCTAGAGAACTGAGGTCAGGATGCAGAGCTTTTTCTTAGGACGTGCAGATTCCCAAGTCCCTGAAGCTACGCAAAGTCTCCAACTTTTAACAGGGCTGAGCACATTAGCAACAAAAAGGCCTTAGCCCATTATTTAGATAGGAAGCTAATTCAAGAGACCAAATCTGAATTGGTTTAGCAATTTACACATTCAAATAGATGTAAGAGTCCCAACACTACTGAAGTTAAGAGTTACAAACTTAATCCTCCCATAATTCTAGCCACAGAATTTCAGTTCTTCCAGTTATGAGTAACTGCAGAAAAGATGAATGCTGTACTTCAGAGCACGGGATCAGAAACCCAAGACTCACTTTCCACGTCCTGGAACCTCAAAACCATTCGTTCTATGCATTACAATATCAGGTAATATCACAATGCAACAATCATATGCAGCCCTTTTGGGAAAGGCACCAAACAAGAACTCAGTACACGAGCAATGAATTACTAACATAATGAACTACATGACACCACAACTGAGCTGACACTGCCTTCTGTCCATCTGCCATTGCTGTTTTTCACTACTCTTTGTGTCAGGTTTTATGAAATAACTGTTCTGTGATTCTGGTTCAAATTTTAAATTCTGAAGGTTGTTTCATTGACTTTACTTTAGAATATGCTACACAGAGCTGAGACTCTGACCGTGCAATGCTTGGTATTAGATAACAGGTACTGCACTCATTTAGGATAATATAAACAAAGAACAAAGGAAGTAGTTGGAGAAACAGCCCAAGTAAGAAATAATACATGCAAGATTACACAAGTGTTGATGGCAAGGCTATGAAAGCAAGTAGCTTTGCCAAACTGTAACACATAGCTCTGCTACTGCAGCAGAAGTCTCCCTCCTCACACATACTTTTGGCCAGCTGCTGCCATTACCAATGGTGGCTATGAGGATGAAAGAGAAAGCATGGCCTCACAAATAAGATACATGTGAGCACAGCAGCCACCAACACAGCCAAGGAGCTTGCTTGCTAGAACATGAACTTGTGCCTTTATGCAGACTGACAAACTATACCTGGTACTGCTAAGCTCTGGGAAGATAAAAAATGAACAGTAAACCCTGTATAATCCTTCAATTGCACAGGTAAGCATTTAGCTGGACCATGCTCATTGTACGCTTGGAAAATCAGAATAAGTTTCCCAACTAAAGCAACAAAATGCAAAGCAAGTTGCTTGGCTAGGAAATAATGGAATTTGTCTCCAGCAATTAAAAGCCACCTTCATGTTCTTAATTTGTGTCCATTAATACCCATAAAGCGGAAAGATCGCAGACTAAAGTTCAGAAGTACAAAGAGCACTTCAGTATACTTCATTGCTCTAGGAACAGCTTCCCTAGGATGCAGACAAACGCCAATTGAGCTTTTGTTAAAACACATCTATAATGTGACAATAAAACATTGAACAAGAGACGTGCAGACAAAAAAATTAGAAAATAAAAATAATCACTGCAATTCCTGGACATTCACAACCAAGTTTTAATACTTTGTGGGCAAAAAGAGTGGGAAAATAAAGACATTTCACGATGGCTGTTCAACATCTGCAACTGGTTTGTGTTGTAGTTGCAGTGAATGCTATAGCTGCAGACTACTGGGAATGGGTCCAGGCTGCCAAAGTAAGTACAGCAGACTTCATACTTCTATACTCAAGTTGTTATTATACTCTAACTAAAACTTTAGGTCTGCACAAGTCTGCTAAATAAGTTATCCACAGCTCGAAATATCAGCAGCATTTCAAGACTCCAATACCTACGTTAGGAATAATCACAATAAAATTAGGATTTAATCAACTGTTCTGCTGGGTGAAACACAAACCGTGCATATGGCAGCTACATAAAGACACATTATAGTTCCACAATTTGGTATTTTTCACTCCACTTGTAAAAGTTTTTCTAAGAATTAAGCGTTATTGCATGCCTAAATTCAGAAAATGTTGCAACGGGAACGAACTGTGCCCATTTAAGGGAATATATACAGATTACTACATAAACTATTCACAGAAATCTGGCAAGGTTTCTTAAGCACTATTCATTCATTATTTTTTTTTTCCAGATATTTGATCCCAAACCTTAGAAAGTATATAAAATTATTGTGAGAATACAAGTTTTGTCACATCAGGGAAAATGTTAAATATAAATCTAATAAGAAAATATTTTAGAACTTACGTGTAAGAAGATAAACTGCTGTCATATGTTGATATTACACCATAATTTTCTTCATTGTAACGAAACATGTCATTGGGATCCCATCCATTGGACTAGAAGAAAATAATGCTTGTTTTTCAAAATGTCATTGGAACCACCTTCCCTTAAAATGAAGGGCTGGTGGCAGGAGTCAAACCTTTTTTGTCTCTTTTGTCTTTTGTCTTGGCTTACAAATTCACTGTTCATATCAGAAAGTTAGCAGAGCCACGATTTATTTCAGGGGTCTTTGTTCATCAGATGTATGTACTTGATCCTAAAAAGCCAGTTAGGTTTCTTTTTTGCTTTGTGGTTGGTTGGTTTCTCTAAGCACCATGCCCACTCTGTACTAGTTACTGGCTAACATAGTATGCAGTTCTGAACGTTAGGAGCATCCCTTGCTATGACAAGCACTGATACTTCCCAAAAGCACTATTAATGCAATTATCTGAGACATACACTGCAGGCAGAAGACCCCTGGTGATCAGGGCAACTTCCCCATTTTATGAAGTATGCTATTACAGCACTCAAGACTTAACTTTCACAGATGATTAATGTTTTGAGTGTTTCATAAAAGCACTGGCAGCATTATGTATTCCAACAAATCTCAGCTGTACAGTACATACACCAAAATTGACAGGGTAACTGTTCCAGCAAGACAAAGTTAATATTCTCCACAATAACTTGACTCCATTCTTGCCTTTAACACAATGCAGCACAATACCTTGCTAAGAAGAACGCATGGTTGAGGAAAAGCTGACTGCTATGATATACAAAGAAGCTCATTTAAGAACATACTCTTCATCTAATGATGCATAATCTGCTGAGATTGTACCTGTGCTTATTAAACCATGGGTCAGTCTCCTATCAATTTCCTTCATCTTAGCTCCAAGACAGCTAAGCACAATTTCATCATCATTCACAAATGCAGTGATCGTCAGACAGGAATGCTCTGATTAAACATAAGAACTTCAGTGTGCTGCTGAATGTGGAGTTCTTAATAAAAGCTCCTTTTTCAGCCAGTCCTCAAATCAAACAAGTTCCTTACCCCAGCAGCTGCCATTTGTCAATATTTGCCAAAAGTGGCATTTGAAATCCAGCTATTCTTGCTCAAATTTTTTAAAAGTGCTGGGGCAGCCGCTAGCAAAGACTGAACGTGTAGTGATATAGGCCAGCATCTTCAGCCCCACTACTGGATTAAAATTAAGGGATGTTTGTGGCAAGGCACATCCAAAGAAGCAGCCTGCTTTCTAGAGACCACCAGAACCAACAAAAAAGCATTACTTACAACATCTGTCTCCAGTGCCTCAAGCTCCTCGTTAGCGCTGGTCTCTCCTCCATCCCACGGCTCAAGATCCTTTTCTTTGTGCTCACCATTTACTTTAGCACTGATGGCTGAATCAGTAAAAGCATCTAGAAGGGAGTGGGAAGGGATGGAGGTGAAATCACTTTGATTAGGCACAGGAAAACACTGGACTCACCAATTTTTTTGAGGAACAACCAAACACAACTGGATTGCAGACACATTAACAGCATTCACCTCTTGTAGCTGCTGTGTTCCCTGAGACTACATCAGAGAGCTGTCTGCTGATGTTTAGAAAAACCAGGAAGTGCAGACTAACTTCAAATAAATCTATTCACAGGGTGGGTTTTTTTGCAACTTTAAGTATGAGACAAGGTACCAAAGAATAGCAATAATTATTTGCAATTATTTCCAGAAGTTATACACAAACTGCACGCATGGTTTCTGCTAAGAATGGGACTACCTGGGGAGTGCCATTCCTACAGCAAATCCAAGATTTCTACAGTGTGCTTGTTGTCCAGGGAGCTTAACTAACTGCTAACAAATTATGCAAATAGAAAAAAAAAAAAAAAAAAAAAAAAAAAAGCATGAATGCACCCAATCCCATCCCTTCAATGAGCAGAATACAAGCTCCCCCTCAATTTCCTGAGTTCCTTCTGTCTCCACAACTCACCACACCAGCATGCACGCACACAGCTGCACTCCCTTTGCAGTATAACTCAATTACCCATTAGCTTGGGGTACTCATTCAATGGGACAGCAACAGAGAAATGCTGTTTCCTGCAAGCTTTTTTCAGGTGGCAGCTTACCCACATCACACAGCAAGATTCAGAGACACTCTTTTTCTCAGCAACATATGAAAATAAATATGCTGTTGATTAGCCAATGCACTAAGGGTATGCAATCTTTTATACAAATTGTAAAAAATTTTATAAAAGATAAAAATCATGAGCTTGTATTTTTACTTGTTCATGTTTCATTCAAGTCGGACTAAGAAAATGGCTGAAGAAATAATACTACAATATTGAAGTACTGTAAAAGGGGGAAAAAAAAGTACAAAATATTCATCAAGGAAGCCAAGCTTTTCTATTCTGTAAGCAACTGAATCTTAGAGCTGTCTGCAAATTCTTAGATTACTTAAACAGAAGAATTTTTAAAAATAAAATAAGCTTCTCTGAGTGCCTTCAGCCTAGAATTTCTCATTATAATTCTAAAGAAAACTAAGAAGCAAACACTTCAGGTCTTTAAAAAAGATGAGGTCAAACCACCAGGCAGTGCTAGATAGGAAGAGTATGGCTTAAATTAACTTTTGGCAAGATCCGAAATCCTACGAGGAGAAATGAACATGAAAGCCATGATGAAAAGAATTAACAACATCTGAAGTGATTTGTTGGCCACCAGTGTTGCAGAGTTTAAACAATTACTGAGGATTTTTCTTAAGAGACTGTCAACACAGCCTATTATCCCCGTTTTGCCCATTTCACAATCAAGTTTTGCCCATATATTGCCATGATCTATCCCCATGTATTGCCATTCTATCAGAACTGTGCTTAGCTCTGTATGGTACAGGACAGGCTGTCTCATGAAATGCTCAACTCATACAAAGAGACCAAAGAAACGACAGGGAAGCGATTCAGCATTTCAGCGTTGTTAATAAGCATATGTGAAATAAAATGTTACAGAAGACGTACAGAAAGAAAGATGTCTATTAGCTAAGCATTCATTTCAAATACAAAAGAATCAGTAAAATGACGAAAAGAAAGCCAAACGAAGGAAGGCCACCCTAATGAGGGAAACCACTGTTAGGGCTCGTGTGAAGCTGCAAAAACCTGCATCAACCACCTGGTGAGACCTCGGGGCACAGTTCCCCAACAGAGCTGCGATAATTCCTCCACAGCTGAAGGTTAACACTTCCAAGTGAGATCATTTCAGCTTCTCACTACATCCGATGCCTCCAGCAGGCTCATTCTGGGGTTATTGGTACACTGTTCTGAAACAGCCACGGTATTGTTGTGCTAAATAATTGTGCTGATGCAATTTTTCAGTGGTTGCAATTCCAGCTGCTTAGGATAGGTAACAATCAAGGGTGGGAACAGAAGTCATCGACTGACTGCAAGGTATTCCAAATGATTCTGTGAAGTTACACATGCATGTTTTACAGTGCTATAAATGCGCCAGCAAAGAGATTAAGCTTCCATTATATATTATGGTAATTAACAGAAGCGTTATGAAAGGCAAGATGCAGAGACAGAGTGACTGCCAAAAAAATTACCTGTTTCTGAAGGAACTACAAACAAATATGGAGAGAGAAAAAATGGAAGACATCAGATATAAACACAGGTGGATTTTTTCCACATTATAAGTCTGATTCAGACACAGCTACACTCTTTCAGTCCCTTTCGCAGACACATTCAAGCTGATTAGACATCTCTCACCTTGCAAAGATGATTTCCACGTTAAAACTTCAGCAATACTCCCCCTATTCACAATCCCAGTATATTTCTCTATTTTGCTTTGCTAAAATCAGTCTGGACAGCCTTCAGATTTGTAAGGTATATCAATCTGTCAGAAAACATCTCAGTTTCCCTTCACGCAAACAGCTTTTAAGATACATTACAAGAACAGATATGTAAACGGGAGCTACATAATAACAAAGTGCTATCTGAATCCACAGTGATGGAGTAACGAGAGCACACTCAACTGGAAAGCAAAAATAAAGCACTGGTATCTGGAAGCTAGACATTCACCTTATCAACACCCCATAGGCAACACTGCCATAATCTAGACCAGCCAGTGCTGCTTCTGTGCCTACTGCCAGAATTCACTGCTTCATGCCTGATCCTCCCAGATCAGACATTTTACACCAAACAAGTTGGAGGCTGCCTGTGTCACTTGTGTGACATTTGCTTCCATGATGCTTCACTGGGGGAGAGGGGAACTTCCTCCAACAAGGTGAGAAGACACGGATGTGGGGAGTGAGGGCAGCACCTGATGGAGGTAATGTCTGTATTCTCAGAGGGTTTAATAAATTTATATTAAATAATTTCAGAAAAAAAAACTCCACACAAAACGTTTTGGCATTCTAGATACTGCAAATAAAATAGTAGCTTAATAAGACTCATATTTAACCCACTAACTTTCCCATTTAAAAAGCCACATAAAAACCATCAGCAGAGTGCTGTCAAAAATTGTGATACAGATGAACTGGTGGGACAAGGCAACACAAAAACTGCACCACCTAATGAGTGTTACAGGCCTGAGGAAGATTCGTACAAGCAATGCTAAGTTTCCCAGTAGAATCCAGTATATCACAGGGCACAGGATGTCCCTCTGCTCTTCACCTTTCTTTCATTTTAGGATACAAGTGAGACTGCAACATCAGCCTAACCTTTACAGCTCAAAAAAGTCAGTTAGGAAGAATTCAAGCTACAAAGGCAGACTTCTAGTCACACAGTACAGTCTCATGAGCAGTCTGAATGTAGCAGAAAGGTACTTCAAGGCACAGCTCACTATTATCCTGGAACAAACAGTCAGAAAGACACAGAGGGACACCAAGATTAAAAAGAAGACAAACAAGGCATGAACAAAACTGATGAGCAGTACAACTGAGAACACACAAATTCTTCAAATCATTGTTTCCAAAACAAAGATACTGCTCTTAAGATTATTAAGAAAGTAGAAGCTGAAGCAAACTGCTGCTCTGGGTGCCAACTGGCAGAGGGTTAGCAGGCAAGATATCGACTGCGTGCTCACGCTCCCCTTTGCTGGGGCCCCGTATCTCTGAGCTGTTGAAGGAGCACTTCACGTGACACCTTGACACAGCCAAATTTATATCCAGTTCATTGTGTATATGGGTAAAACTCAAATAAATGATCAAATGAGAGCTGGCCATAAAAAAGTGTGAGCTGTATGTAAGCCTTCACTAGCTCCCAATGCCTCTGAACCCACTTTGCATGAAGTCTCCAAGCAAAGAAGTTTCCTATGTTAAGGCCTCTCTTCTTGTCTCAGCCTGCTAACTGGGAAAAAAAAAATCCCAAGGACAACTTTACACGACAGAAATTCACATGAAGCAGAAGCAAATCAAGTACACGCATTCTAAGAAAAGCCTCAGCTTGGGCAAATTCTTCAAGTGTGTGCTATTAGATGACTTAGAGAAAGGATTGCCAGAATGGAGCAATTAAGAGTCCAGGTTTGGTTAAATTTGGCATTATAAAAGCTTGTTTTCTCAAACATGTTTTGTGCTCATAGGGAAGAGCACAAATGTGCATTTAAGCATAGTTCAAAAGCCATTAAGCCAATGTGCATTAGGTGCCAAAGGTGTTTGTATTGCACACTGCAAACTTTGATCAAGTTCGCATGGCTCAAAGAAAATTGATGTTTCAGCTTAAATGTTACAAAACAACTAAGAGTTTACTGTTGAAACTACTTACTACTGATTTAAAACATTAGAACCAGTTACCACTAGTTCTCCAGGGCGAACATTTCCTTCCTTTGTTCACAATGTGCCTCCTGCTATTCCCCTTCCAACACTTTCTCTGGAAGAATGCCCCTTTCAGTGCTAATTCAAGGAAAAACTTAAATAGCCAGTTCTCTCTTGCCTTTTTTTTTATTGGATTTGTATTACTTTTCTCAGAGAGTAGTGACTGTGCCAAAAAAACAATAAAAACATTGTAGAAGCCTATTACTTTAACAGTAGTTATGATCTTGAATATTCTTGTCTTTAAAGAGGAGCCAAGAAGACAACTCAAGCCTTACTCAAATTTGAATCATATGCAAACCAGCAGAGCTGCCTGATCAGTGTTTAGGACTACAGGAAATGCTGTTAGAAGCTTATTGTGTAGAAATGTGCCCTTCTATTCCATTTGTATGGGCCCAATAATCTAACTAGCCAATTTGCTGGTACTGCAGAAAGCCCTGACTCCACTGAGTGACCCTCAGATGATTCTTTTTGATTCCTTTTGAAGCCTGACAGGAATCTACTCAAGCACAAAGGTCTAGATAGACTGACAAAGTTGCAAATAAGGGCTCAGGCAGCAAGGAGAGATTTATTTCTTGATGCTTAAGCTGTCAGAAAGTTCTTATCTATGCAGTCCTACTTTCCCCCCTCTCCCAACACTTTCAATTTCCACAGTCTAGGTAGGCACCACGCTTTCTCCATTGATCCAACTTAAGGTGCAATGTCATGCTTGGCATAGGCAAATTCAAGGCTGTTGCTTCCGAACAGAGTGGTTTCACCCACCTCCAGCTTATACTGCCATTACCTTCCCTGTACTCACACTACTGATGCTGCTGCAGGATTAATTATCAGCTCGTTGCCTCAAAGCTGCACAAGTAAGATAGCAATGAAAGGTGCTTGGCAGACTACTTTGGATGGTTTTTTTTCAGAGATAACTGTATTTTCCACTCCTTCTGAAAGAAGAATCCATCCCATTCCCCTTCTTTCTACCTATTGCTCTTTACCACTCCTCTTCCAGTCTGCTTTGACACAAAGGCAGAGACAACGAAGCAAACACCTCTGCTGTTCAAGTCTGAGGGTAACTCAGAAGATCTGTACTCAAAATCTAAGGAGCACCATTTGGCCAAAGTCCCCCCAGCTCAACATAGAAGCAAATGCCAGAATAAACATTCACATGACCCCAGACACAGCACAGTATCTTCTGAAGAAAGTAAGTTTACTTCAAGAGCTCCTCAGAAGTCTTGCATTTGTCTGAGAACAGGAGGGAGAAACCAAACACATAACCCCCCCCCCAATAAACTCTGGTCTAGCAAGCCTCTCCTGCAGCAACCAAGTGCCTGAGGAGTGTCATTTTGTTTGATTACATTTTCAAGTGACAGCTAGCTTTCTTTCCAATGAAGCATCTCCAAACAGTATACTGCCTTGTCTGAAATCACCTACCCATCAGTGTCTTTTGGCTATTTTAAAATACTTCTTCATGGGTCTGTAGAAGCTAATAGTCTTTGTTTTGTATGAAGCTCAGCACCATCAAATGGAGCTGGGCACCAGATGGTAACAACTCAGTGCAAACATAGCAGGGAGCACAATCCCCTCACCTAGAAGTTCAAATTCAGTCTTTACTGTGGATCACACACACTTATCTGACCCTATCACCAAGACTTGGGTTCCTCTATAAGAACAAAACGCCCACAGTTCCTCTCTGCATGTGTGTTCATACACACTCATTCTTTTGAATCTTTGCTAACTTAACTTCCCAAGAAGCAGAGAGCCTTTCATTGCTCTCACGTGCAGGTGTGATCAGAGACTTGCTTGCTCTTTCAAGTGTGGTTTCACGATAATAAGTTGTTGAGACAAAATGGAAAGCAGATTAATTTACCCACTGTGAGTTATCAAGTTCTGCCTTCCAGTTTATCTCACTCTGTCTGTACAGTTTTATTTCAGATCTCCTCTCCAACTACTTAAAAGATTTAGATGCAAAGACATTCCACCTCATAATGCAAACTGAGTGACTTCAACATAAAGCAGTCGTTTTCTTCTAGAAAACTGCCATTCAGTAATTATTCCTAGAAGTAGTAGATTTTTCATTCCATCTGCTCACTAGAAATCTAGAAAGGCAGGGTAATGGAGAATCCAGTTTGCATTTACATTAAAGAGATGTTCATAGCAGATCCATTATAAGACAGCTTTTGCGTAATTCAAAGTCAAAATCCTATCCAGAACCTGGAACACATCTGCATTTCAATGCTACTGTTGCTCTGATATTATGCATCCTTCTTTGAGGAAAAGCAAATTCCTTGAAACAAGCATCTTATCCTTTAGCCTTAAATCAGGCAAGAACACACACATGTGGAAATACAAGATGAAGAGCAAAAATCTCTCTAAATTTCTATGAATCCATGCATCTTTAAGTCGCTGCTACCTGGGAATAAAGCATGTGTGTAGCAATGAACACTTGGCTCCCAGTGACAACTGCTGACCAACCTGAAAATCTACAAACACGCAGCTTCACTCCTTGGCATTGAAAGACATAAAAAGCATCCAAAAAATTTATATCAAACTTTTGAAATCTTGACTTATGATCTTAAAATACAAATAACTTTAAGAATCTTAAAAAATGTATACCTCTTCTTGCGTAATTGGTATCCATATCCTTAAAATGCACCATAACAAAATCTGAAGACTTGAATAAAATACTTTCTAGTATGTCTTCACGTTTTGGCCCCAAACTGGATTCTGCAGTTTTCCGATGAGCAGCATCAAGCACTAAATCACACTAGTAGAGATAAAAAGAATATCCTAATTGAATACACCATAGACTACTGGTAACTGACATGCTTGGGAAAAGCACACATTTACAGAGGTTTGCAAAAATGAATCTGCATGTGTAAGCCTAAACATGGATGGGTCAGAACAACTGATAATAAATATTCCAATTTAATGAAGCATCAATTATACAGTATTTGTACCTTTCAAAAGAAGGAAGAGCCAAAAAGGGAAAAAAAAATTACCTTAGGACTGTAGGTTTTAAAAACTCCTTCATATATACCACCATTTTTCACCTGTACTTCACATTTGGATCCCTAGAATGCAAGAAAAATCCAAGTGCAGCACTCTGTCAGTCTGACAAATGTTATGAGTGATTTTCTCAAAAATACATATTTACAGAAGCACAATGTGTAAAAAACTAAACCAAAAAGCTCAGCTTTCAGTCAAATCTTTTTTTTTCACCCAAACTTTTTCAACATTTGCCCATTTACAAACACGTCTCTGCGTGCCACAGAGACAAACACTGGGGTTTGTCCCAGAGTTTATTTAAGATACTCATGAAAGTGTTTTCGGTACACATGAGACTTTTGATTAGCTATGCATGCATGCAAACAAGTCTTTGTGCAAAAACAAATCCGTGCATATACATGGGCATAAGTAAGGTTAAGTTTTAGCCCAGATTCTAGCTGCTGTGGGACAGTCTGTCACCAAATTTTGTCATGTTCCCTTAACAACCTGAAGGGAGAAGGGCTTCTGCTGCCTGTATATAAATTTATTACTTATTCATAATGTCTCTGGAGACATAAAATTCAAAATACAACCAACAAGCGTAAGAAATCTGCCATCCCAAATATAATTTGCAGTTTTTCAAGCCAAAAATACACAATAGCTATTACTATGACTGTTTAAATTTCAATCTTGGAACAGGATGCCCACTGTTAAACTTTATTATTCGCTCTATTATATTACAATTAGTGTAATATTTAACAATTCTCTGTCACTATAGAAACCGTTTACACGCCTTGCAAATATGAGGACTTACAACAACTGATGTAAGTATGTGAACCATTCTCATGTTTGCATAGATGCCATCGAAAGAAATCTGGAAAAAAAAAACCAAAAAAGTTGTCATTTTTATGGGAAACACTCGTAATTCAGAAAGGCAATGCTACAAAAACAAAGTCAGCTCTCAGCAGTACAGAACAGCTGCTAGAAAGACTGGTCAAAAAACCTCACTTGGTCAGTATACACTGAATTTAAGTCACAGCAGATGTCCAGAGGACCCTTTCTCTGATCAATTAAATATCAGAGCACCCTTAAAAACATGAGAAACCTTATAGTGTGCCTCAACCCAATATCAATCCCATTAATGGGTGGATAAAACTCACATAACAAGTCTCACAATTGAGAAGCCCTCCTAGCAGCCTTCCCTGGGAACAGGGACAAGGCACCTCAACTGTTGCTGAAGGAGAAATGTTCCCTGAACTACATCTTTGAAGTAAACAGACCTGACGACATGCATTAACAGGAGATGAAGTCATCCAGTTGTGAACTGCTAAAGAGCTACAAAGCCTATTATAAAACTAGTGGCCAAAAGCCACTCACTGCAGTTTCAGAACCCAGAAACCAACATATTTAAGGATGCTCCTGTGCTCAACACTCAGTAAGGAACACAGAAGGCCTAACACTTCCTACTTGTACATCACCTTTTTCACTGCTCTCCCTCAAAGCCTCTTTATTTTTACTGAAGAGACCCATTATCTTCAATATACACTTATAGAGGTAAACTGCAGTCCTTTCAGCCCTTCCTACTCCTGCCCCATTCCCTAGAACTAGTCATCCTTGAGAAACAGGCCACTAACAAATTAGCAAATATTTGATTAGTGCAGTTCAAAGATCCGTTTTCTGAATCAACCCAGATCTTTACCTTCCACAACACATCCTACAAACCAAGTCACATCCATGGTGCAACAGTGTATTGGCCTTGAGAATAACTAAAGTTACACACACAGGTAACAGTGGCTTAGCTACAATAACATTACATTAGCTATTTTGTAGTAAAGCTGAACACAATTGCTACTTCTATTTAACAAAGCGTTGTCTCCCTGCCTTCAGTCCTCTGTTTAAAGAAATCAGTTCAGAGAGTTTCCAGAGAGGCAACGCTTTTGAATCTGTTCCCAAGTTAAAATTTATCCATGTATTTGCAACTATAATCACAAGAAAGATTTTTATTGGCATGTTTCAAATGTTTAAGAGTTCCTTCTCTCCCCATTCTCCCAGGAGACTTAAGATCATAGAATCACAGACTCAGATGAATGCGAGATTTTCTACATTTAAAAAAGCACATCTCAGTCTAAAATACTCATTGAGGTATCGAAAGGAAAAAAAATCAGATTATTCCACAATGTGCCATTTTCACATTGCTAAGAAAGGCCACCAGAGAAGCTGTTTCCTTGTATCTACAGAGGAAACAAGGAAAAAATACTCACTGTGGGCTGAGGCGGTCCTTTGCCACTGCTGCGACCTCTGAAAGGAAACACAGACAGAAGATACAACTCAGAAATGTTGAAAAGGATCAATTTCTTAACAAATTCAAAAAACAAACTTAATTTTGTGCTGAGAATCAGAGCAAAGAAAACCAGCTCTTCCCCAGAGCCAAACTTAGCAGTTGCACAGCCTGTAGCATCTATCCTTCAAATTACTGATCTACAAGCAAGACCAGTAAATGGGTAAAAAGGTTACCTACAATAAATGGCAAAACAAAGAAAATACCCATGCTGTGTCATTACAGAAATCCACACATACTCTCTCTCAAGCAGAATCCTGCAGCTAAAGGAAACTCCAAAACCTATTGGCACGCAGAACCAAAACTGCTCCACTGCACTTCCAGGCTCAGTCCCTCACAGCCATTTCTCTAGGCCTGGTCTCTCCTCACTGCCACCATCTTTCTGGTTGAGGGCCACCCAACCAACTGCCCACAAGGCCCAGTTCTCGGTCCCTATTTAGAGCTTATGAGCTTATATGAGAGCAGCAGCCACACACAGCCCCTCAAAACCAGTAACCACATGCAAACCAGTGAACACGTTACAACCTCAATGTTTCAAAATGCCTTTAAATTAACTCGTAGACTCTTAACGCTCTGCAAACTGAGATGCAACAGTCTGTGCCCTTCAACTCAGCCCTAGAAGTGCCAACAGCATCCCTGTAGCTGCAATAAAACCTCAGCTTGGTTGGTGTGCTTCATGTCCTTGTATCCAAACTCCCTCTGAACAAGCAGCAGCCCTAGTTCCAGCTACTTTTTTGTAGTGATTGAGGTTTGTATCACAATAGGAAGCCCTACTTTCAAATCCTTCTTGTGATAACCGAGATTTGTATCATAACGACGACTTAAGAGTGCACCCAATAAGAGCAAGGCAAAATGAACTCTTCAATTTTATTCAGAAAAAAAATCAATTTTTTGAAACTGGCTCACCTTACAGATGCACATCCATTTAATTAGAGACCCAAAGAACCACGCTCATGTTTCAAAACAGTCAAACAATGCTGAAACCTCAACAGCAAATGTGTTCAATTGCTTCTGAAAACGCTGTGCTGTGGTAGAAGGCAGCTGTGCTCCAAACCATGCCCTTGTGAGCAGGACTCACGAGCTGGTCAAGGAATTAAAGGGTCTTCTCACGAGCACTAATTTTGCAGAAATCAGCAAGTCCATCAGAGGAGCAGGAAAGTCCTTAGTAAGGAAAAAATGAAATCCACTGACCAATCACCTGAGCAGTTTGAGAAAGCAAGCTTGTGAGCTCGACGTGCTGTGCTGTACAGCATTGCTCCCACCGATGACATTTGCTGATTGGTAATAAATGCAGACTTCAGATGTCAAGCTGGCATTTTCAGGATACTTGTAGAGTTCTAATCTCATACACACACAAAAAAAAAATCTAAACCAAATAGCCCTTATTTAATTACCTATAAGCCTTGGCTTTCCAGAAGACAGAGTCACAACTTTTGGCTCTCTGGTGACCAGCAAGTCTTACCATTGAGTAAGCCTGCCATCTGTCCAGTGACTGCCTGCCTCCAGTGCTGGAGCCTGCAACAGTTTTAGCAACATTTTCAGTTGAACCACACTCTTCTTTTGGGATGCCATTCCACCAGATGCAAAATGCCCCAATAAAAGGGTCAGATTCAGCTCTGATTCCTCCTTTTATCATAATCCAAAGTTGCAACAAAACTGCCATGCAGAGAACATGGAGGAAGCCCAAATAATTCCATCAGTTCCCTCTGTTGGTCTCAAGAATTCGGAAGCCACCCCTTTCTGCACCAGTTACAGAAAGGGCCAGAAGTGAGAGTGCAGTGCCTTTGCTGCACTCCCACAGCTCCCACACGCATCCTTAGAATTTCACTAACTAGGCTCCTAGACTGGTCAGCAAGTTCAGAGCATTCTGTTTAAGCATTCAACCTGAAGCATCCTGGATTTTCCACCTCCTACATGTCCCCAATTACCATTCCCATCACACACCTCCAAGAAGCCATCTGACCGTGCGCATCCACGCTGGCAAAAGGAAAGGCTGCAGCTTCTGCATCAGAGCAAGAGAAAGGACAAATATGGAGCTCCGAGCCCTGCTCCAACCAGACATACCTCTTTACAGACCTAACCTCTTTTTCTAGCTGCGACTGTTCAATACAGTCTCAAGTAAAACAATCATCACCATTTTAAACAAATCAGCCAACGCTCAATCAAAACCGTATGCAAATTCTGCTAAAACCAAGACCATCAACTTGAGGTCTGTAACCCAACATGTGAAGGCTCAAGCTCAGACCACCCTTTGACACATCTTTAATGAACTATATGAAAAATAAGCTAGGACCTTTACAAAAGCAGAAGGCAGATGGTCTTTGCCGGAAGCAATTCAGCGCAATGCAAAACAGGAGAGCAAAAATGGAGTGGGAGAAATCAGAAGGGTCACCAGCAATCCTGCACTGCTACCTACAACCACATGGTGAATCAAAAATACATTTTGTATTGTAGAAATGTGGTTGAATGTAGGCCTTGGAGAAGGCAGAGCAACTTGGCAAATCAAACTTGCAACCCCATTCCAACGCTGCAGGGTAGGAAAGTCACACAGTCAGAAACTGCTGCACCAGACAAAGTAAGTCGACCAAGTAATTAATCTCAGTAGCCAACTCACTGCAGGTTAGTGCTTGTGCTTCAAGAGTGAAAGTCTACACAAGAGCTTCATCCCAAACGCTGCACAATAAACATCTTATCCCAGGAGCAATTTGCAATTTTTTTCTATTTTTCTGAACATTTGCTATCCTCAACATCCCACACCTCCCCTCCTGATGTTTACACGCCAAGTAGAGCGTTTGTGTAAGCAAAACAAGGTCATGCATTTATGTCTTTACAGCTAAGTGAAAACTAATGCAAGGAAGGCAAGTCTCTCCAGGATGTGAAGTTCTTTCCAAGAGCATCTTCACTTTGAGACCAAGAAACAGATGCAGCCACACTGCAATTAATGTCTGCAGCAGAAGTGCAACTACAAAGCTCACTGAACTTAATAGAGCGAATGGATGTTTCTGGAGCACTGACTGCATCACCACAGCTTTGAAAACAATTCAAGGATACTCTGAAGAACTTTCATTACAAGTGCAGTGAGCTGATAAAGCTTTCTTCTAAGGCAGAATTCAGAAGTACAAAGTTCAGACCTCATTTAAGAATAGCAATTGGTTATGTAGGAGTCAAATGGACCAAAGCTGTCAAATTAACGCCACGCAAAAGTGCTGCAGTGCTGCCTTCAGTAGTTTTGCCCAACGCTGACATCATTCACATCAACTCTTGCCTTCTTACAAGAGGACGAGTTCTGCAGCACCCCATCACACAGGGACACCTGAGCCAAGCACGCAGGCATGGCCCACTGATGGACGTGGGCACTGAGGAACCTTTGTGTACATTGCCATAAATCAAGCCACCACATTAAAACTTACTCAAAAGCAGGTATGGGGGATCACTCAAACACATTAACTGCTCTAAGGAAAGAGACCTGCAGGTTACCCATTCATTTTGCTCAGCAGTTTAGCACAGCTGCTCTAAACCCAACACAAAGACATTAGAATGAACTAGAAAACCTCTGAGTGATGTGTGACCAAACCTCCAGAACAGTCCCTTGCATTATTTCAGAGCGCCTCGGTGCTCAATATTCCCAATTACTTCTACAGAACAGAATGGACACCTCCCTTCTACCCTGTCCTTCAGCCTTTTGTGAGGTTAGTAACAAAGGCTATCAAGAAAAAAGAAAATAAGAGAAGGCAAAAAGCATTGAGCCTCAAAAGCAAGCTACATAACATGAGGTAATTTCAGTTTAAATTTCTTAATGGTTAAAGTAACTCATAAAAGCAGCAACAGACTATTTCTTAAAGGGCAGGTTCATTTTGGCAAGAAAGTTCCCAAACAAAAAGGATTTTTTGCCACAATTGTAACCAGAGATGTAATCCTCAAAACCAGAGCCTGCAGTGATTTGCCTTCAGCCAAAACCCCAGTGGGAAAAAAAAAAAAGGATAAAAATAGTTGCAGCATTCAACAGAAAGCTGATACAGATGTATTTTCTAATCACAGAATTGCTAACCTTGTTAGGCCTGTATTGGGGAAAAACCTGAACCGACACACCAGCAATTTAGAATAGTTAAGATCTTGAGGAGCATGGCAGAGCAGGTTCACACAAGGTCTACATTTTCTCCAGTTACAGCTCACCATGCTATTGGCATCCCCTGGCCTCCAAACCCCCCACTTCCCACCTGTCCCACTCTACAAACAGCCACCACCAAATAAACGTAGAAATTCACTTAGCACTCATTTCAAAAACGTTCATTAACCCTTCTTGCTAATTTTTAGACACCTTTAAGGAAACTTTCCTTTGTGATTTTCTTCCCCAGGATAAATGGGGAAGGAACAGCAGTGGAAAGCAAACACGGGGATATCCTCATCTTTCACACAAGATCTTACCTTTCCTATTACAAAATATGTTACAAGACTATTAGGATGGATATCTTATTAAAATTTCATTTAAAGACCATGGAGACACACAAAGTTGACCCCCTCCTCTCACTACCAGATGAGGAAGGACCAGGTACTCACTCCACTAAGCACTGCAGTAATAAGGACACAGAAATTGGGCCCACAACTGTTGACTATTAAACAATTTTCTACTCAAATCTGAGTCAAAACTGACGAGATCTGAGTCTACTCAATTTATGTTTATGAAAAACTTCGCCATGAAATGTAACCTTTTTTTTTTTTTTTTTTTCATGTCACAAGAAAAACAAAACTAGAAAGCTTTGCTAGAAATGGGGGGTGTTCAATTCAACACTTCCAATTGAAACCAAGATGCAGGCCAGCTAAAATCAGCGTGTTTTTTTTTTTTTTTTCCCCAAACAGAAAAGCCTCTTTGCTGTTAATTTAGAGGACAAAATTTGCAACGTGAACCATCTTTAAATTTGTTGCCCAGAAAAGACTTGACATCTCCTTAGGAAAGCATTGGGAAAAGTACTCTGAAGGTATCCTCTGGGGACCCATCAACATGAGTGCTGTGATCTTACTGAAACATTACTCAGAATTACATTGAAGAATTATTACAACTATTATTTTATTTTTTTTTCAAGAGAGAGATTGGGAACACATTGGTTGTCCAGCAGCCCCGTTACAACTTCCCAAGTTCTGAAATGGAACCTATCCAACAAAACTGAGAGGAGAAACCCAACGGTTGTGATTTTAGAGCTTGACAAAGGAATCAAAGCTCACAGCTCTTCACCTAATGAGCCCAAAGCTCACAATAACTCCAAATCCCACCAAAAAAAACCTTCCAAAAAGCTGTAGGTTTTGTTGTCCTTCACGTTAACCTCCACAGTGCTGCTGTCTGTCAGGGAGGCACAGCCAACATCACGGCCATCGCAGTGCCACACGCGGGAGCCATGAAATCATGGCACTGGGTGCTGGGCACTGCTGGCATTGGGGTTTCTTTGGGTTTTTGGAGCTCTTTTTGCTCTTTCCCACCCTCCCAGTGCTGCTCCGGTCCCACAGATGGGTAACGACGTACTGCTGGGTTTTTCAGGGCTGTGTAACAATGAGACTGCCGTGGATTCTTTTATTGCCAAACGCACAAAACTGGGTAAAAATACAAGGCAAGCGGATGAGCTCCAAATGAGACTGCTCCCAGTGACCATGACCTTCAAATCTGCTCCTATCCCACCTGGATCGCCGGGACACATAGAAAATGGGGGGGGAGAGGGGGGGAAACAAAAAAAAAAAAAACAAAAAAACCAAAAAAAACAGACAAGACCCCAAAATGGTGTTTTCTGTGTGAGGATCCCCGCACCCAAAGGCCGCGATCCGCCCCGAGGCGGCGCGGGGAAGGGTGATCGGCAGTAGAAAAAGCGCGATGGGGGGGGCGATAGGTGATTAAAAAAGAGCGACGGGGGATAAAACATAAAGGCCAGGGCCGGGGGGGGCGCGGGGCCGCGGCGCAGCGCTCTGAGGGGCGCCGTGAGGGGGCGGCGGGAGCGCCCCTGGGAGGGCGCGCGGGGAGCCCCGCGGCCGCTGCCTCAGCACCACAGCGTCTCCTCAGCGCCGGGGCCCCACCGGGCCTCGGGGCTTCCACCGCGCCGCCGCCGCCACCTCGGGGTACAAAATGGAGGCCCCGCCGTGCCCTCCCCTCCCCTTTTCTCCCTCCTCCTCCTCCTCCCCCCCTCCCTCCCTGAAGGGCAACCCGCGGCCTCGCCCCGGCGGCACTGCGGAACCCCCTCCGCGCGCGCGGGGCCTTGCGTCCGCGCCCCGCCCGCCGCCATGCCGGCCGCCCCCCCCGCACCGCCCCGCTCCCAACCACCGCCCATGAGGGGGGGGGGGGGGAGGGGGAAAGCGGGTTGGGGGGGGGGCGATGGCGGCGGCGGGCGGGGGGCGATCCCGGGGAACCCACCTGCCCATGTTCTGCCTCCCGCCACCCGATGCTGACGGCAGGCCGCCGCCTCCTCCTCCTCCACTTCCACCGCCGCCGGGGGGTTTGCGGTTGTTGCCGGCGGGCTGCGAGGCGGCCGCCGTCTGCTTGAGGGACATGGCTGAGGGCCGAGGGCCGGGGCCTGCGCTGCGGGAGCGCCGAGCGGGAGCGCTGCTCTGTGTCTCCGTGCCTCTGTCTCTCTCTCCCCTCTCTCGCTCTCGGCCGCGGTTGCTCCCAAACAGTGCGGGGCGGAGGGAGCGGAGCGCGGCGCGGAGGGATCCGCGCGCAGAGAGGAGGGGGGGGAGGAAGGAAGGAGGGGGGAGCGCGGAGCGAAGGAACGGCCGAGTGGGGAAAGCGGGCGGGGCGAGGCGACGGGAGCCGGGCGGGCGGGGAGCGCGAGAGGGGAGCGGGGAGCACGGGGCCCGGCGAGGGGGAAGCGGGGCGAAGCGCGGACTCTTTACGGGAAGTCGGAAGGAGCGCGGCGGTACTGCGGCTAGGTTGAAGGGGCGGAGGCGGGGGAGCGGCGGACACGTGAGGCGGCGGCGGACGGCGCCGGGCCCTGCGCTCTGTGTAGGGCCGCTCCCGCCCCGCTCCGCTCCCAGCGCCGCCCGCGGGAGGGCCCTGCTGAGGGGAGCGGCTCCGCCCGCGCGGTGCGGCCTGGTGCTGGAGGAGAGGGAGGAGGATAGGAGGGAGGAGGAGGGGGTTGGAGGGGAGCCGTGGCTGAGGTGCGGATCTGGCACGTGCGGGGATTAAAGTGGGGAAATACAGGCGTTGTAAAGGAGAAATCGGGAAAACGTGAATCTGAAATGCAGAAATCAGAGCGGAGCAGGCACCCGGCTCTGGCGTCATGCTGGTACGCGCTCTGCTTTCGGAGGTGCTTTTAGCGCCGAGCACCGATATGATACATTGCTGTTAAAAGCCCGTGTGCGCGCTGGGTTAGTAAGAGTGGCTGTAACCTGAAAAACCGAGAGCGAAATTGATTTATAGCCGTGGTTACTCAAAGTGCTCGGACTTTAATCTATTCGTAGAGATGCTCTGGAAGTCCCGCAGGATTCGGATGCAGTGAGAAGGAGCGATCCTGCTGGGCGGGCAGCGTTCGTACACATTGCTTGCACAGCAACAGTTCTCCCATGCGGCTAAAAGCCGTGGGTGGCAGCACGGTGGTAAAAAGATAACAATATTCAACAGCTTTCTTCAATTAGCATCATCCCTGCGCTTTTGACTATTAAACTCCTTGTTTTGTTTCACCTTCCAGGCCCGGATAACCCTGTGGTTAACACCTTATGAGCAAAATGACAGATGCCAGCACAAAGCATTAATCCATTGAAAATATCTGTCCAAAGCTGCGCCGGCAGCTTTAGGGAAGTTTAGTGAATGTGCAAAACGATTTGCTATTGCCCAGCCACAGAACTGGGAGAGAACATTGAGGAGTTCTGCAGGAAACAGCAGTGTGTGCAGAGGTGAGGACAGCCAGTAGCACTTCTAGAACTACTTACTGCAAAGGCAGCCGTCTGTTTCACTGTACATAACAGGATCACTACACTACCTTAAAAAAGTGAAGAAACAACTTTTAGGAAAAAGAATACACTATGTATATGTTATATTTAATTATAACAGTAAATTATATGTAGGTATGAAATCCAGTAGCACGCAAAACTGCATTTCAGCAAACATCTGTGTTGTTAGGTTTATCCCAATGGAGCTCAAACAGATGGCCTCAAATTGCCACCAAAGCAGCAGAGGTGCAGCAGGTGGGGAAGGTGAAGGTCCCAAACGCATCCTGAAATGAATCCAAGTGAGCTACAGGTAGAGAGGGCTCTGTATTCTGCAGTGTGTTTCATCTGTTTTTTTCAGTTGATAAAACAGATTTCCCAGAATGCACAAGGAAGTCTGATAGTAGGCTCTAACAAATCCACGTCCCTTGAGGTTGTTTTGGTTTTGTTTGTTTGTTTTTTAATGGAAAGGAAGTAATTGTAATGCTTTTTCAGCTAAGCACATTACAGTGTGCAACAATCAGTCCCTGTGTTTGATGAAGGTTAAGAACCATTACAGAGCTATGCAGCCATGCTGCAGGGTCCTGCAGGCAGACAAAGTCCTGGTGTCCATGGATGTGATTGGTACAAGCAAGTTCCATGGCCAGAGACGGTTTCTAAGACAAGATATGAACACACTAACTTAGATTTTGGGGTAACATTATGTCCTTTGAGAGTGACTGCATGAATAAGACTCTCGTGTTGGTATCTGCAGCAATGACTCAAGCACAGTTGCTGTTTGACTTGTTCTCTCCTTCAATGTATTCTTTGTTTTGCTAAGCTCTGGCTTCCATTGTGCCCTCCCATTTTTGCTTGTCGAGCATCTTCACTCAGAAGCAAACACAGCAGTGACCAGGTTGAAGGGACTCCATTTCACCCACCAAGACCTGAGTCAGGTGCTGGATCCCTCAGAGGCTGATGGTGCCATGCCAGTGCTGGTGCCACTGCAGCTTCCTGCTATGAGCTGCCCCACCTGCAGAGCACTGGGATCACACTGCTGTCATTGCACACAGCGTTCTTCCCCTTGGTGTTGGCTTTTCCCTGCACACAGCCTTTTGATAGCCAGCAATTCCCACTACTCCATTTTTATTATTTTATGATTTGTCTCTATTGATTTTTTCCCTTTTTTTTTTTTTTGTTTTGTTCTGATGCAGTGCTTTAGCTGTAAAAAAAAAAAAAAATCAACGTTCAGAATTACATGCTCCACAGCCAAGAAACAAAAGCAACTCTTTCTAATAGAGAATCGCATCCTATGTCACCCTTCCCGTTCACATTCCAGGTTAGAGCTGGTCTTCTTCAAGACCGCTATTTTCATTCAGTTTTGTGCCTGCATGTGCAAGCTGTGTTTGCACATGAAGATTAACGAGCCCGATAACATCACTGCTTCCCCGGAAGTGCTGCATGATGCAATGTTTCCTTGACAGAACTGCTCCAAGGCACCGCGTGCTTCCCGAGGTTCAGTGCGGTGAAACATGCGTGCCTACGGAGGGACGGCCAGCACGAGTGCTTGACATTCATGTTATGCAAAATCAGCCGTTAGAACAGCGCAGTCCTGAGTATTTCTACACGTTTTCTTTTCCCTGAAGACTTCTTTTATTTATCCATTACCACAAAACCTGTTCTTAGAGGCAAAAGCTTTGCCAACAATACTTATAGGCATGGGAATCTCCAGGCGCTTGAAAAACAAATCAGGTACTCCAACAAATGAGGAGTGCTTCCCAGAGAGATACGGTATCAGCTAGTCAGCAAAGCTGCAATCAGTTGTAATTGATGAATGCACCACTGGCCAGGCCAGAATTAGGTACACGCACATCCGTGAGCAAAGCCCGAGCTCCAAGCATGCAGGAGAGGCAGCCTCTGCTGCTTCTGCTGCGTTGGCTTTGTGTCGCCTGCAGTCCCTCAAAATCACAGCTTGGCTGCAAGGAGATACCAGCTTCCAGCAAATGTATTTTTTGATCCACACTTTGCACTTTGATAATGACTTGTTCCCAATTTCTGTCACCCACCAACACCTTCCTCCAGCTCCCTGCAGGCTACAGAGGACAGACGCTGCTGAGCCATGCATGCAACTGCTTCCCCACAACTCATGGGAGGTGAAGGAAAGCACGAACAGCCACAGTGTTCGGGTCTGATGTGCACAAGTGCCACAACTTGTTTCATCCATAACCAATGTAGAATCATAAAACCATTATGACTGGAAAAGATCTCTAGGATCACCAAGTGCAACCCCAGCCTTCTCCACTGAACCATGTCATCAGTGCTACATTTCCACTTTTCTTGAAAACCTCCAAGGTTAGTCACTCCATCACTTCCCTGGGCAGCCGGACCCAAGGCTTGACCGCTTTCAGAGAAGAAATGTTGCCTATTACCCATCCTAACCCTTCCTTGAGGGTTGAGCTTGAGGCCATGACCTTTTGTCCTCATGCTGTTACCTGGGAGAAGAGAATGACCCTACAGTCCTTTCAGGAGCTGTAGAGAGCATTGATGTCACCCGTGAGCTTCCTCTTCTCTGGACTGAGCCATCCCAGTTCTCGCAGCTGCTCCCCATAAGACCTATGTTCCAGTCCCTTCACAGCTTCATTGCCCTTCTTTGGACAGGGCATTTTAATGAATCCTGCTCTCAGCTTCCATTGGCCACAATCACCATTTAAGGGATCTCCCTGCCCAGAGGCAGGATCTGTGCAATCACTGCAGCCCCACAGCACTGTTTTGGGACGGAGCTTCAGACTGGGAGACCCCAGCTGTGCCCCAGCACCGTGGGCAGACTGCCTAGCAGCCCCCAGCCCTGGGCTTCGTGCCTCTACGAGTAGATTTAGCATTTTCACAAAGGGAAGTGGAGAATCAAGTCTAACTCCTGCTCAGCAGCAGCAGACAAAGCAATCGTTATGCCAAGACTTAGCTCTTAAATCCCTCCAGATCTGGTGTTCATGGAGCATAAACAACCTTTGCCTCACAGCTTCACCGAGCTGTGCCTCCCCACTTCCTAAGCACTGCAGTGCAGACCCTTCAATACCCATCCTCTCCCCATCCTTTTGCTGAGACAGGCGTGCCAACAAGAAAGCCAGTTGCCATGGCATTTTTTCCCCCTGCAGACAGATGTCCATTAAAAACCAAGTCAGCCTCAGGTTTGCTGCACAGAACGGCTTTCTGTTATTATTAGCAGCCTGCAAGGAATTCCACTGTGCCCCTTCACCTCAGATGTTTCAATGCACTTCGGAATTAATCCCTGGTGATTAGGAGGAAACCACTACAGAGCAGGTACAGGTACGCTTAAAGGACAAATTTAGGATTATGATCTCGTTTTGCATTTTTGGCAGATGATTTGCACACGACTGTACCTGGAAAGAGCTCAGTTCGTTAACTCTGGCATTCTCTCCTGATCTCTCAGCCTCCCCACTAAAACTATCAGACACATTGGAGGCTTGGATGTTTTCCTCTCCACTGACACACTTCACCCGAGGCTCGCAGTAATTTTGTCTTCAGGATGAGCCCAGCAGCCGCAGCCCCAGCTGGAAGCAAAATCAGAAGCTCCACACGTGGACTCAGCGCTCCCACCCCTCTGCATGGGCACCCCTGGCCCCAGGACTGTGTTTCCAGCAGGAATCTGCGTGTCAGGCAGTGATGTCTCCTTCATTGGTTCCAAGGCCACGTTTTTGTTTAAGGTTGGAAAATGGCTCTGTGGATTCCATGCCCTCCCCCAGCCCACCCAAGTGTTGCATCCTGCCAAAACATCACATCACCTCTGCAGGGGGCTTCTCAGGTGTTCTTATTGGGATGGTCACAGTGCTGAATGCGTGGGAATCCAGA